CGGTAAATACCACCTCTGACTGGCCTCTCCCCCATCTATTCTCTGCCTCCCAAGTCCCAGCTGATCAGGAGGAAATGGGGATTTTGCAATATCCTTCCCCTGCCAAGCCCACTAAGCCTCTCCCACCAAGCCACACCCACAGAACTGGTAGTAAATTTTGAATCCCACCACTGCAATGATAGTATGCTTCTGACATGAATAAACAAATAATAAACAGTAAACAAATGAATATGCAAATAAAAGCTATGATTCGAAGAACTTCTCTTTACCAAGCTTCTACTGATTTTCCACACAAAGACTTTTTTTTATATGTTTCAGAGTGTAGAAAATCTGCATTTAATCACTGTTTTCACCTACTACTTTGAGATATGCATTATCCTAATTGTTCTGTTATTCTCTGGTACCACACCACAAACATGCACACATTTAAAAATGGTTTTATTTGGCTTTCTGTTCTCTGGAAATTATTTTAACAGCAACTTGTCTTTTTTTGTTAGAGATTGGCAAGATCTCATTTGAATTCTTCAGGTGAAAGTTATCTGGCTCTACTGATTAGTTATTGTGCAATGTATTATATCATTATTACTTTGCATGCATTTTCAGATGTTATCCCTCCTCAAATAACCATACAGGTATAACCATTTTCTCCAAGAAGTATTTTTCACAGCAAAAATAGATGTGGGAAACCCATTTTGCTTCTCTGCTGTCTTTTTGCCTTCCTTCTATCTAGACATCTTGTTTCTTCTATGGTGACTTCCAACTTCTGCTATCCTGGAAAGGGAAGTAATGTTGCCAGAGATTCTCCTCTTTAGGTTTTCTTCATATTGGCAACATATCTAGGTTTAAAGGGAAGCCACCTTGTGTTTGTAGACTCTAAAATATAATCATCCAGGTGTCATTTATACTTTTCCTCTCCCCCTGATTTAAACAGTTTGGTTTCAACCATTCTGACAGAAGTTTGAATACTCAGAGTTTCTGCCATTAAGAATCACAGATGTGCCCTGGGATGGAGCATAGAAAACTGGGACTTTAGAAAGTATAAAGACTTAATATTTTCTTCTTTTTGTACCTCAAGTTGTCTTCTGGTATTGATAACTATGTTAACTAAGAAAGAAGATGAAGACAATGCCAGCAGCAATAGAGATATTACAGGTAGTTCTCTGGATGTTAAGGTCGTACCACCTAATTCTTCTGGTTTCAATCTATATCTGTCTTTATTTTTATATTGTAAGGCCTTAAGCAATTTTTTGCCCAAATAAAGATCTAGTGCAATGGCCCCCTAATTTGCACCAAAACCTCTCTTGTATCTTCCTTATTTGGTATATTCATTGATCTTTTCCAACATTTGTGAAACTCAGATTTATTCCATATTTACTAGTGTGCAGTTGTTTGCCCTCCTGCTTTGTTGCCTGTTCTATTTCACTTTTCAGAGGATTTAGTTTTTGAATATTTGCTTTCTACGCTAATGTTTGTCGTTTTATAAGCTCCTTTGTAAAATATTTCATTCTAGAACTTCCACTTTTTTTAGACTTCTTTGCCTCTATTAGATTGCTTGAATAATAGCTGTGTATATTTTGAGGGTTAATTCTGATTTTCTTTGCTTGTTCTTTTCATGATACATTATTTTATTTGATGACATTCTTGATTGAGATAGCTTTACTTGTCCTTTCTTACTTGAAACTGAAAATCTGCATTCAGTCATTGTATGCTTGTTACCCAATATTTTCATTCTCCACCTTTCAACCTAGCTATTTTGGTAGCGTACTCTGAAAGCCATTGTAATCTTTTCTTAAGATTTTAGGAATTTTTTTTCTATTTTGCTTCCCATAATGCGCCTCTTGTTTCTTTTTCTAGCTTTTCATGTCCTCTTTCTTATATGTTAAGTATGCTGAATCTGATCCTTATATTAATCCTGTGTCTGTCAACAACAGCTGTATGCTGTTTTTAATTTGAGAAGCTTAACCCATATATTTGAAATGAATAATTTCTCTCTTTTACCTGGAGGTGTCCTGGGGACTGGATTGCACTTCTCCATTTTTCAATTCCTATTTATTATTTATCAAATGTAGATACTGCCCATTTCACTATCCAAGTGACTCTGGGCAGTTTACAGATACAAATGATAAAACCATATACAATTTTAGAAATACAATTTTAAAAGAATTAAAACAAAATGAAAAATATTTTTAAAAGTGCAGGGTTAAAAAGACATGCTAAAAAGTTAAAAACAGCAGAAGGAGCACCCTCAAGCCACTACCAATCTCAGGGTTGTGAGCCACTCTTTGACCCCCATGCCAGCTGGCAGAGCCAAGTCTTCACTTCCTTTTGGAGGGCCTGAGAATATCAGGCCTAACTTCACCTCTAAAGACAAGAGACTCCATAGGGAGGAGTAATTGCAGAGAAGGCTCTTTTCCTAGATCCTGCCTGTTGAAATTCTTAACTGATGGGTCTGTAACATATCCTCTCAGCCTAATTTTGTGCAACAAGTTGATGTAACTGGGACAAGATGTTCCTTGGGTAACCTGATCCCATGCAATAATGAAGGGCTTTAAAGGTGATAACCAAACCATGAATTGGACTTGGAATCAAACTGGCATCCAGCGCAGCTCACGCAACAGATGAGTTACTTGAACGATTCTTGGAGGCCCAAGACTCCTCATGTAACCACATTCTGCACCAGCTGCAGTTTCCAGATGCTCTTTAAGGACAGCCTCCTGTAGTGTTCATTGCAATAATCCTTAAGGGAGATGACCAGGATATTATGTAGTTAAAGTTCCAGTGTATAATCTGTATTTATATTGCTTAAAATAAATATTAATAACAAAAAATAATTCTGTTCAGAGAACTCGTAGTATTCTGTTCACACAACTCTTAATATTCTGTCTCCTGCATTATTGCATTTGTCCATTTGAAATCTTCCTGTAATTCCTTGTTTCTTTTGCATTGTAATTGTCCATTAGTAGTACTGCATGTCTAGTTGTTGCATTCAGTACCACTTAAGGTTTGTCATAGCCTACCTCTTTCCCCATTGTGTTGTGGTGAATACATATCCTTGTGTAATATTCATGTTCATTGAAAATACATTAAATTCAATTGTTATGATTTACTGGATTATAACTGAACGCATAATTATAATTGTCCTTTCCATTCTCTTGCCACACCATTGCCTTTGCTATTTTATTCCTTCTTATGCCCTCATGCCCTGAATACTGTATATCATCTCATTTAAATTTGACTTATTCCAGACCATATAAAATTGCTCATTCCTTAATGTGCTTCTTTTCTGCATTCAAAATGTTGACGTATATTCATTCCTGCATTTCACATTCTGTGCTCCCATTGCATATGTCCTTGTAAAATGGGAAATCTCTTTCAATGCTGACACCATTAGTGCACATTTTTCTTGTGGCTTTTTTGTCCACACCTGTAGACCTACATCTACTGAAGTTTGACGATCTTCCCCACAATTAAGACATGCTTTCCAGCCTTTCGACCTTGCCACGAGTTTCTGCCAGCATTACTTTCAGCATGGCTGTTCCTGTATTTGAGATAGCTGAGCAATGTATTCTAATTAAATTCTTGATTCTTAACAAGATATCCACTAGATGCTTCCATCCCATCATAATTAAGTACAGCTCTGAAGTCTTGGATTAGAATTTTTCAATCTTGGCAGCTACCAAATGGATGGACTTCAGATCCACAAATTTTCAACAGTAGTCATGCTGGCTAGGAAATTCTGGCACGAATAGTCCATACTTCTGCAAGATACCTAGTTGTGGGAACACTATCCTAGATCGTATTTTGGATTGAAGTAAGAGTAAGCAATTTCCTCCTAGGTGGAAGGCTTCAAATGTGTTCAGTTCAAAATCCTCGAAAACTGATTAGTAATTAGAGCAGATACTGATACTGTCTCAGAATTTCACAGTATTTCACTGCTTACCTTTGCTAAGTATAGATTATTGCTAACCATTATCTGTTTCACGACAGAAAAAGCATAAATCATGTATTTTTACATTTGATGTGGAGGCTTCTATAAAGTATGTACTATATTGTCCTGGATTCAGTTGAATTTTGCCGAAGCATTCCCAATCCAGTCCTCCGATCACTTGCCACTTCATGTTTCCCTGTGATGTAATGCTAAATTATTTTTGCCAGCTTTGCATCCCACACACATTAGGTCTTGGCTAATATCCAAAGATGCATGTATTTGTTTGGCATTTTGCTAAGAGCACACTGGGAATGTGCTTGGATTTGGAGTTGGATTTGGATTTGGGAGTGGGTGGGTGTTTACAATAAAACCCAAGAGATTTCAGCCCTTTTTTGGAAAGGAAACAAAGTCAACATGTGCAAAGCTAAACAATGTCTTTCAATATTGAAATGTAATCTTTTGGAGTATGGTTGGAATAGAGCAAGTTTATATGTGTAATTTATGTAAGAGAACAAGTGATAAGACAGTGTGATTTCAGACTGACTCAAGAGCATCAACTAAGAAATGGCAAATAGGATTTGAAATGTTCTTTATTTAGACCTTAATTTCTAATAGTGCAAAGAAGATAAAGTCTGTGCATAGATGATAGAAATATTTGTCTGGATTTCTAGGGATATTAATTTTGCACTACTTGTTTGGACCCAAATGACTAGACTGCATGAACCCCTTGATGCATGGGAGAAGGATTATGTCAAACGTCTCTACCTGATTGTGTGGCTCAACCAGGAATGAAAGCCTACATCTCTAGCCATGTTTCAAAGCTAATCATATAGTCGTTACAGGTAGCTTTTAAGCATTGCTGGTGGAGTTCTAGAGAAGCTCTAGAGAAAAACCTCTTCTCTATTCATGTCTACATTTAAACAAAAAGCCAATGGGGGTCCTTTCCCCAACATGCAAGTTCCCAACTTTAGCCAGCTATGAGTCCAGACAAAAAAAAAAAGGAAAAAATAAAATATGCAGGAAAAGTGACATGGGTGTAGATGCTTTATAGCCTCTTTCTTCCTGCTCCCAGGCAGAGCCAGCCTGTCTGCCCATTCCAGTCATGTGGATTTAGACAGCCCTATACGTCGGCGCTTTCTGCTGGGGCTACTTTCTCCAGGTAAGTATAAGCTGCCTGAGCCAGGACATGTTGCTCTGCTTCTGTTGCAATTCAAGCCATGAAAGTCTGCAAGATTTAGGGAGAAGCTCTCATGTCCAGATGGCAGCAACAGGGAAGGAGTTCTCTTGCTTTAAACAGACAGACTTTTCAGACCCAAAAAGAAATAAATAATTTGATGACCTTCCAGAGGAGAAACCCAGTTTGGTTGGGGTCATCAATAGTAGGAGAGTAGAGAGAGAGAACCCTTGTGAGATGCTGCAAAGCCAAGGAACATGTCTCTTATTGTCATGTATCTAGGAATGAAAAAGAAGGAGAGCTGAAAATGCTCTGATAAGTTTTTATCGTCCACAGTTATTTAAGCTCTCTCAAAAAACGCTTCTTGTTATATATTAGGTCTCTACCCTCAGTCCTCTTTTCAGATTTTGAAGTTGTGCAGAGTTTTGCAAAAGGCTCTTTTCTAAGGACTTCAGTAGAATGACTGAATAAGTGTCCTTACTTAGTGGTTCTTTTTCAAACTGTTCTGGGTTCTCAAAAGACAAAGTGAAACAATATCTTGCTGGCTACCATTAAAATAAAATTGTCTACCTGGTGTAGCTTCGAGAAATAATGGACTTCCTCATAACTTTGTTCAATTTGTAGTCTTTAACAGAAGTAGAAATCAGGTAGAAAACCTGGTGCATTTAAGCTACCAGGTTCTCTTCCTTATGTGCTGCATCCCTTGAGCCGATTTTTGCTTTTTCTCAATGCACTTTTGCTCTGCTGAGTTACAGAAGATTTACACTTTTCTCCTCATTCCACCAATATCCTGGTGGCCACCAACTAGTATCAAATACTAGCTTTGCTTCTATGGAAGTGTGTGGCGATTTGCAACAGCTGAGGATTGCAATGTAAGTGTGAGTGTGCCATCATACCAGACAAATGCCTAGGCTATTTCTATTTCTCCAACCACACCTGAGTGGTATGCAGACTTCTCATACAAAACTTAAAAAAAAAACACCACAACTTCAGAAGCGAATATGCCATTGGCTTTCCTGATCATCACAAAAGAATTCGATCAATTGGCTGGGCTTTGTTCCTCTTGCTTGTAAATTTTGGGGAGCTAATCGGAATGACCTGAATGCCAAATTTATTTTCTCTTTACTTCTGAGAAGGTCCAGCTGGAATATACATTAACCTACAGGGAATGTATGCACAAGCACCATTCATTGCATTTCTCCTCTGGCTTCTGCTTTGTATTGTCCTAATAAGTCTCTTGATGAAGACATTCTGGGAGTCGTAATGGGGAAAGGCACATCATTATTTTTACTATTATAGTATTATTATGCCATTACCTTAATGTTTACTCTGCCTCAGGCACCTTTGCCTGTCTAAGTATCTTAATATTTAAGATAAATGAATGACAGACCTCCTAGTTATCTGGTAGTTTCATTCTTTGCCATAGCAGCATTCCCATTAACAGCAGAGAATGAGGCAGATTTTTCAGACAAGAACGCACACCTTGACAGATAATGATCAAGCTTCAAGCTATGCCAGTAGATTAATATCAAGCATTATTTCTTTTTGTGCCAACAGAGCTAATGAACAGTTGGTTGTCTCCCATGGGCAAATCTGCTGTCTCAAACTTTAGTCATGATGCTCAGTAAATTGACAGCATCTTTCTATAATGCTGAAAGTATTCTTCAGAACTGGTGAAGAATGTGCAAACAATTCACCTACAATCTGTTTTATGAAAACTCCAGGAATGTGGCCCTCATTTTCTAATACCCCTTTGTGTTCAGGGTTATTGAAGAAAGGGAAAGGGCCATTCAATATTTATATAGCACTAAAGCTACAGGCTCAGATGCAGTTTGTAGGAAGTTAGCCTAAGAAATTCTTGGTAGAGAATTGGTATATAAGCCAAGTCTAGGTCCTCATCTAAAATGGGCTTAGTCACCCAACAGCCTAGTTTCCTTGGCAAGAACAACTTGCATAAAATAATTACTGCAAAGAACTGAAGCCAGAAAATCAGCATAAAATTTTCCCCACCCCTTTTTTATTTTTCTTAGAACTTAAACCTGAGGTACATGTAAGGAACTGTTAAATACAGCTCTTTAATCACACAGCAAATTAAGTCTCGCAGTCTTTATTTAACTACAGGCATTGTAAGAAGAAAATACCAAGTTGGAGTTGGCGCTGCCTGACTCAGCATTGCCATAAGCTTTACCAAGAGCTGTGTCAAAGCGTTCTTGGGTGTTCTGCATCCAGGAAGAATGCTTCCCTTACAGAATTTCATGATAACCAAAGATGATGGTAGCAGATGGGAGATTGTCATTTTGACATGTAACATTTGTGTTAGTTTCCTCCAATAGCCAATGTAGGGAAAACAACTTCAAGCTAGAAAGTGCCACTTAATGAGCCTGACCCCTTGTCTCACGATTGTTGAAAACCAAATTCTGTTCAAGTGTAAATTAGCCCTTAGCTAATTGCTGTATTGAAATACAGCCATTGCTGTATTTCTCAGTCTAATTCAGAATTCAGCAGCTGAGTGCCCAAGCACCCATTATGTTGCAGTTCCAGAAGACTTTAGAAACCCAGGATTCAGTTTATATTGTGCTATGTCTCTGGAAATGTCAACCTGCATGGAACAACTTTGCTGTTACATCAATATCCACACACAGTTCTCTGAAACAGTCACTCTCCACATCTAGAAACTAGTCCAACTACTGTACAAATCCCATTCTAATGTAATGCATTAGAAGTCCAGGCAATAACAAATCTCTGTTATATTGCAGGATCACACATCCTTTGGTGCTTAGCTCTGGAATGCATGCACCAGGCCTCCCACACCCAGGCATGACCTCTCCATCTGGGAAACAAGAAATGGATCATTACGACCGAAGCATGTAAGTAGCCTTATAGGGATGAAGACTTATAGGTACTGTGCCATTTATTTATATGTTGCATTTTTATGCTGCTGAATCTTCAAGATTTACAGCAACGTAGTAAGACACAATAAACTTTCGACCAGAAAATAAGTGTAGTACAATGCACAACAAAGACAGAACGATGTAGTTTTCAATTTACAACCATTTGTTCAGCCACCATTTGAAATTACAGTGGTGCTGAACGTATGGTACTTATGAATGGTCATCGAAATTGCAGACATTGCAGAGCTCCTGTGGTCATCTTTGGAAGTCTGGCCACATTTATGACTACAGGGGCACTTCCCCCCCACCCCCACTTTCCTTTTTTCCTTTCTCCCATTTCTGCCCTTTTGGTTGTCCTGCACAGCAGCAGTCCTTGGTAGCATTGGCAACACTGGGGCAGAAGTAGAGGCCTGAGGCCTTAGCAATTTCAGTCAGCTGCCTCCCCCGCTCCCAGCTGCTACTTCAGTTCAAGCCCACAACCAGTGGCACAGCTCAAAGCTCTTGCCATCCCACACTCTACAGGTCCTGCCACATCCAACTGACCATAACCATCTTTCTCCTCCTGCTGAAAAGGTGTGCCCAACCTGCCCTATGTGAGGCAGCATCTGACCCTGCTAGGCCTTCTTCCAAGTCTACTCACACTATCCTTCAAAAAGTGTGTGCTGTTCTTATGATGCTTCAGGATGCCTCAGAGGTTTTTCAAAGGCTTTGTGAAGCATGACAAGAACAATGCAAATGATTTGGAGAACAGCAGGCATGGCCTTCTCATGAATTTTAGATGGTCACAGAAGCCTGGGAATTGTGCATGTTATTCGGAGAGTGGCACAAGTGACCTCAGGAAGAAGACGTTTGAACCAGGCTGGGCGCAATTAGTTAACAGTGAGAGGAAGATGACAAAAGTCAGCTGAGGGCAGAATGGCCAGTGAGCACAAGGCAGCAGGACTGACAGAGGTGACAGAATGCAAAGTGGCCATAAGGGCAGAGATGATGGGGTGATAAGAGGATGGGGGAGTTGAAGAGGAGGCAGTTCCAAACTTAAGGGACTGGGAAGGAGCAAGCTGGAAGTGGATTGGGTCAGCTGGTAATAATGGCAATGGGGAGTGCCAGGATTGCTGTCGTTAAATGTCAGATCATGCTTTATGACCACATCATTCATCAATGGGAAATTCTAGTCCCAATTACCACTGTAGCTCGAGAACTACTTATTATTAATAATAATTAATATCCAAGTAATAATAATTAATATCCATCCAGAAAGGTCCTCCAGAAAAATTCAGCCTATCTGGAAGGCTGTCATAGAAGGGGGCCGCCATGATAAAAATGCAGTTCTTTCAGACTTCTGCCTTCCTCACTTCATAGAAATGGGTTCTCATAAGCTGCTTCTCCTAAGGGAACTTCTTCAGATGGGAGGAATCTGGCAGGAATAGTGGTCTAATACAGGGGTCTCCAATCTTGGCAACTTGTGGACTTCAACTCCCAGAGTTCCTCAGCCAGCTTTGCTGGGAGTTGAAATCCACAAGTCTTAAAGTTGCCAAGGTTGGAGACCCCTGGTCTAATATGTTCTCCTGGCATGCTTCCTTACCAGTTCCATCTCTTAGAAGAGCAGCTGCTTCTTCTCATTTGCAAAGCCAGTGTCTACAAGCCTTGTTTTCAGGGTTACAGTTTGGAAGAGTGCACTCTGTTTGTTAGTCATCAGACATAATCAGGCACACATCTGTTGTAGCAGTTCAAAAAGAACATCTTCCGTCCTACCAGGCAAAAGTAATAAACATGGTGGTTCCTACATGAATCTTTCATACATCAGATTTAACAGACCAGATGAATTGAACTGGATCAATAGGATGTTTTGTAGGATAATTTGGACCATAGAGGCCAAAATTATATTTCCAGTGATAATGTCTTAGCTTTGGCTTACCATTAGAAAAAATATTTTGCTCTTTTAATGTTTAATCTTTGGCTCCTCGATTTTAATCCTACACTGTCAATCCTTGTTTTTTTATTATTTTCTAAGAAGTACTGAGGTAAGACCCTATATTATCAATGGTTTCTTTTCTCTTTCATATAAGGAAATCACAATCAGAACCAAAGAGAGAAAAGGAAGCTAAGAAACCTACCATCAAGAAGCCTTTGAATGCTTTTATGTTGTACATGAAAGAAATGCGGGCAAAGGTCATTGCTGAATGCACCTTGAAGGAAAGTGCCGCGATCAACCAAATTTTAGGAAGACGGGTAAGAGCACAAGTGGTCTGTCTTGTTTTTGATTAATATATAGGCATTAGGATAGGTTCAGAATGAATGAGCTGTTTGCTTTTTCAGAAATTCTGGATTTCAGTTGTAAACTTTATTTTTAGCCAAGATATTGGCTAAAATATTTAGATATTTTAAATATTTAGCCTGGTGGTGCAGTGGACTAAACTACTGTTAAAAGTAACACTTAGCTGCCAGCTGCCTGTAATTACTGCGAGTTCAATTCTCACCAGGCTCAAGGTTGACTCAGCCTTCCATCCTTCCGAGGTAGGTAAAGTGAGGACCCGGTTTGTGGGGGCAATAAGCTGACTTTGTATAAAATAGAACACCATTTGGGGAAGCCAAAAGCCCTACTAAGCAGTAATACAAAAGTATGAAGGCTTAAAAGCATTGTAAGCCGCCCTGAGTCTCCGGAGAAGGGTGGCATATAAATCAAACTAATAAATAAATAAATAAATATTGCTCCAATGGATTGGGAAAGAGGCTGGAGAAAGGCTTTGAAAATTAATCTCCGGTATCAGTGAATAATCTAGCTATATAGTGCCCTGGTTGGTGTGCAGTTTGCAGTATACCAACTTTTCCAGAACTGGGATCTCCATCTTTTCCATATTTAGACGTTAATGGCTTCTGCATCTGTTTCAGTGCATTTGGATGGGCTTTGGAAATGTAACAAAATTTATTATAAAACTTCTGCACTGCTGCAGAATGGATAGCTTAAGAAAAATACAACAACATATTTTTCTTCCTTTTTCCAATTTGATTTTGAAAGATTGTATGTAAGTCCCTGCATCAGCAGATCATGAAGTGGTTTTCATTATCTGGGACTTTCAAAAGATGTCAGGAGACTCAAATTGATAATTTGTAGATCACTTTCTACATCTAAAATATTTTTCCCTACACAAAGTATGGATCCGCACAACATTGTAAAGCAGATGCCAACTATTGCCATTTTGGAGAGGGGACGTAACATGAGAAATGACTTACCAAAGGCTGCTCAACTAATTTATTATAGCTGAGGAAGCTTTTTCATTCTGGATTTCAAAGACCAGTCTCTTTAATTTCCTTTTTTGACCAGTCATATAATTTACCTTTTTTTCTTCAGGGCATAAACTTGTTAGATACATAACTTTCAATTTTATCCCAAATTCTGATCTTGATTCTAAATAGTAAAAACTTAAAGTGGATATATATATGTGTGTGTTTATTTAAAAATAAAAAGTAAAGTTTAAAAAGTAAAAACAATATGTCGGTGAATTCAGTCAAAATCTTCTCTTCCTAAATTTGGGGGGGGGGGTTGAATAATGTGCAGGGGTTCCATTTATTTATAGAATAAGAGATTGAATTCTCTTTATTTAATAAACTTTTGCTGTTGCTTCCTCCACAGAGAGCTTCAGTTTCCATAAAAACTGATAAGTACAGGCATATGCAAATGAATAATAGTGACTGTATTAGTAATTAGTGATTTGGGGATTTGAGAAACGAAGAAATTCGAAAATAAAATTGCTATTTCTGCATCTTTTTTTTTCAAGTTCTGGTACAGAAAACGTGTAGGTGGAAGGGGGAAATGGAGCATTACCTTATCACAAGAGTTGGAACTGTATTGTTTTTGCCGAACTGCAGTTCCCAGAATCCTTCCTACTGGCCATTCTTCAGCTGTGAGAGGGTGGCTATATAAGCCAATATAATTAATAAACAAATGCCTAGAAGTTGTAGTTCAGCAGCATCTGCAGTCACAAATTCCTCATTCTGCTCTGTTATGTGGAAGATTCTTCTTTCATGTGTTTATCAAGATCAGATGTGTGCAACAGTGTGTTTCCAAATACCATGTGTAAAGTTAAGGGCTGAATCTTTGTGAATATGTTGATTTTCCTTCCGCCCACTTTGCATCTATGCAATAAATTAGATGTTAAGAGAATTAAGATTTCTAGATATATTTTAGATCTTGCTTAACAATGCAGCTGGTTGCTGCTGATGGGAGCTGTAATCTATCAACACCTGGAAGGCAACAGTTATCCTTTTCTGATCAGGGTGTGAGAGGACTGTAAATTTCTTGGTTGCTCATTGTTTTCTATGGTTCCTTTTCAGTGGCACGCATTGTCACGAGAGGAGCAAGCCAAGTATTATGAACTGGCCCGCAAGGAAAGGCAGCTTCATATGCAGCTCTATCCTGGCTGGTCTGCAAGAGATAACTATGTGAGTATCTGGGATCTGTGGTGGTGGCAGAGTTTGTGTAGGACACTAGCTCTTTTTCCTTCATAGATAACTCCAGATTTCTTCATCTTTGCCACTAATGGCTTTCAGTTATCTGTTTTAGTAGTTTGCAAGTGATGCCAACCCTATGGGAGACTACGTTGAAGATTGGTTTCCAAAACTTTAACTGGATTATCTGAATCATGTATAGTAAAGGTCTCATGAAACTGGTAGAAGTGGTAGAAGAAGGCCAAGCAATATTGATGGCAAGAATATTTTATTTTGTATTTTACCCTGAAAATGTTCTGAACTTAACACTGAAAAGAACTTTTTTAAGTTCAATGGGATTCTCTTTTCTGCTGCCCTGCCAAAACTTTCTCACAATATATTGCAAGTCATAATTCACACATACACAAGCTCCTAGTTTCAGATGAATCCTTTGCAGGAGGCAGAGGAGGATTAGGGGGGAAAAAGAAAAGCATTGACAGCAAATTGTGCTCAAGAATTAGTGGTACTAGGCACTGGGAGCACAAGGAAAGGTTCTTCCATTGAGTTTAGGATGTGAATTCAATAGGTTATTATAAACCAGAATATTGAGAGTAGATTAAACTCTGCTGTAACTGCCTTTCAGGCATTGGTTTCAGCAGGATCTTATAATGTTGACTTCATTGCAACCCCAAAAGAGGTTCAATGTATTTAATGCCATTATCTCTATTTGCCATCAGCGTGGATGATTGTGTTTGTCCACAATTCCTCTGATTGGGTCACAGCAGACCAACATATTGGGAAAGGGGTATTCTAAAATACGTCGAATATTTACAGTTGAGGGTTTTATAAATCTGTGCTTTTTGATAAGTTTCTATTTTGCACACTTCATTTTCTTTCCTATTTTGATTTTCCTGTTTATTTATTTTGCTGATATATCTGACAGCCTGCTGAACCTTATCTTCCTCTTCCCTCCCTCTCACTTTCCCAGAGTGGTATTTGGGGCCTATTGTTTAAACCAGGGGTCTCCAACCTTGGCAACTTTAAGACTTGTGGACTTCAACTCCCAGAGTTGATTCCTGCTGGAATCTATTATTTCAACTTTCAATATTTGTTTTCTCTTTGAAACAGCAGACCTGTAAGCATTTTTGTTCTTTGCATACTTTTTGCATACCTTAGCATAATTTTCTCTTTTTTATACAGCATTTTGACATTGATTGAAATTAATTCTGACTGGTTACCTCAGATTAACTAAGCAGAGCAATTGCTCCATCACTACACATCCTTCATTTTGTTTCATTTTTATATTCTCCATTCTATCCACAGACAGAATAAATAAAATATAAAGATTCTTTTCTTATTTATATTTACACAAGCTGCTATTTCCAACTTTTGAATGTTGATTTTAAAAATTATGATATTTTCTTTGTTCTTATTCTCCTTGATTCTTGATTTCCCTTTAGCTTTTACTTGTTTCATTCTATCTCTATCCTTTTTTTTTTTACTCATATTATTTACTTTTCTCACCAATATGGTTTTGTTTTCTATATGTTATTTGTTTTATAGTATATATTCCTTTCTCTGGACTTTCTTCCTTAATAAATCTATATACTTAAAAAATGATCTTCAGATTTTGGCTACTCATTTATCTTCTCTATTTGCCACCTTGTAGCTTCTTCTCTGTAAGAACTCTGTTACTATCCTTTGTGTTGACTTCCACTTGTTTTATTTTATTTTTTATGCCTCTGCCCATAATTTTATACCTCTGTCCATAATTCATGGTTCCCACAAGATCTGTATCTCCTTGGTTTACCCAGTGCTCAGAAATGTATTTCTTCTCCTGAACATTTACCTTTGACTTCTGCTGCCTTTTTTCATTCTCCATTCTCCATCTTTTCTCTGTCCCTTTTTTATTGTTGAGCTTGATGCTTTATGAGTAGAGGACCACAAAACATTCTACTATGAAATGTTCCAATCTCAAAACAAGAGCATTTCCAAGTGCTCTATGTTCACCATGTGACATTTTGAGTATTTAGAAAATGAATCTGACAGTGACAGTGAGAACAATCAACCAATGGAATAGCTTGCCTTCGGAAGTTGTGGGAGTTTCATCACTGGAGGCTTTCAAGAAGAGATTGGACTGCCATTTGTCAGAAATGATGTAGGGTCTCCTGCTTGGGTAGGGGGGTTGGACTAGGTGACCTATAAAGTCCCTTCCAACTCGGTTAATCTGTAATCTGTAAATATCCAACCTTGACATGGGCTATTCCAAAAAATGATCTCAATTATCCACAGCCCATTTTCAGATTAGAAAGAATCTGAAATCCTTGAAGTCCCCTATTTCACAGTCAAAACATTCCATTCCAAAATGTTTTGGAAATGTGTCTTTATAAACAACCAAAATAAATGGTATCTTTATAGTTGGTCACACAATTAGACTGGGTTTGGCATTTTTATCCACCTATCGAGTTCTTCCCAAGGACTGGGGATAGCCAGATGTTCTTGTTTAATAACATTAAAGGGATTGTTACAAAATGTAAGCTCTTCCAAGTAAAGCTGTCTTTTGCAATTGATTGATGGTGATTTTGTTAATGCTGATGATATTCAAGTGATGGGTGAGATGTTTTGGAATTGTGCCCGAGGTGCCTATTACTATTGGTACTATTTTTGCCTTTCTTTTGCCACAGCCTTGACTTCCTTTTGCAGGTCTTTGTAATTTGTGACTTCTCTCTCTCTTTCTCTCTCTCTCTCTCTTTCTCTTCTATTCTCTCCTTCCAGGTATTGCAATGTCTACCATCCAGATTTTTTAGTCTTTCCTATCAATTGTTTAATCTAGAGTGGTGTGTGACAAATGTTTGTCTGTTTAAATTCTGAAGTTCCAGAGGACTTTAGCTTCTTCATTTGCTATTAATTTGCCTGTTTTGTTATCCCATCAGTTCTTGTTTGCAGGCAAGTGATATTTCTTGCAGATATTCCAATGCACCATTGTTGCTACTTTGTCATCCCATTGTTTGTGGTCAGTCTTTGCAATCTTCTCCAAGCAGCCAATTAGTTGGTCCACTGTTTCTTCAGCTTCTTTGCAGACAGCATTTGTTCTCCATTGCTGTCTCCTCAATTCTGGCTTTTGTTCTTACAGTGTGGCCCTGTACAGCCAGAATTAGACCCTCAGTCTCTTTTGTTAACTTTTCTGCTCTTAGCCATTGTCATGTTGTTATCTGCTTTGCCTGCTACTTTTTTGGGTCCTGGCCATGTAATATTTTGCCTTGCTATGTCTCTTTTCTATTTTTCATTTGGTTTTCCTTATAGACCAGTTTGCTATCTTTGGTATTTAGTAAGCCTTCATGGTGTACTAGCTTCAGTGCCTCTGTTTCACTGTCTTTCCAATATTCTTCCAATGCCCTTTTCCTCTTTTTCGACTGCCTATGTCCTTGCAACATTCCATGCCCACTTATGCTCCTTGGTAATAGGCAGCCATGGAATATTGCAAGGACACCAAACAGTTGAAAAAGAGAAGAGGGGAATTGGAAGACTATCTGAAGGACAGAGAAGAAGATATTATTCATTGCTCCCTCACTTAAATGGGATTGGACATGAAAATGCTAAATTACTCCTGACAAGATTGCACCAAGAATATTCAAACTATGTAAGTGACAATAAAGACTAGATCCTTTCTGGGAGTTAAGCAAATGTTTAGGTGTGATGCCTGCCTAAGATACTTAATTCTTGTGGGGGGAAAATAAACAATTGCTTTAAAGTGGATCTCCACAAAATATAATGCCTTGCCTTGAAATTGTGTAAGGATTAAATTTTTTTAACATCTCTTTATTCATTAATTTATTGCTGTCATCAAGAAACTGTTTTATTTCCTCCTCATACTGACAATATAAAATTGGTTAAAAAAACAATCAGGCAATAAGGAGAGTTTTTTATTTTAATTTTACATGAGCTTGAATTAGATTGTGCCCATTCATAAATAAATTCAATGAAAATTACAATGTGGAAAAGGAGAAAGGCTTTGGTAGTATTCTCATAGTAAATAATAATCTCACAGAAATTGATGTTTCATGTATAATTATTGCTATAAATAAACATGTTGGATCTTTCTCTCTCAACACATGCTTTACCTTATTATTCTTGTGTGTGAATATTATAACTGCATTCAGGCAGTTTAATATTATTAATTCTAAATTGTTCTTAGTTCAGAGAAATTGCTAGACTTTCATGCAGATAGTCCTTGCTTAAGGACTCTCACCATTGAAATAGGAACTCCATCATTAAGCAATGCAGTCATTAAGGAAGAAATCACATGACCACAACAGATCTATGACCTCACTTTTGCCATGGTTGTTAAGTGAATCATTTTTTATCATTAAGCAAGACACTACATAAACACAATTTGTGATTTTACTGCCATTGACTCTACTTGTCAGAAGCTGGCGGTAAAGTGTACAAATGATGATCATATGACCGCAGGAGACACTGCAATGGTCATAAATTCAAGAACCAGTGTGACCACTATCAAAACAATTGCTAAACAGGGCAATTGTTATGTGAGAATACTGTACTTTTCTTTATGCAGGTCTATGGAAGATCTAGATCTAGATTAGTAATTTACATTGCATTTGAGGATGAACACTTCAGGGAAATATTCCTCAGAAATCTGGGTACATTTTGTGAATAGTGCAAAATGGATGAGTTTCTTTGCAGTATAATGCACAACAGGAATGCACCATTGCATACTTCATAGCAGTTCACTATGCAAAAAAATGGAAAAGAGACAACAGAAAGGAGATTCATACTGAACATAGCTGCACTTGACCTCATCTTGAGATGTAACAAAGAAAAAATGATTAAAATAATATTCAGAAATAGATAAGCTACAACACACATCTCTAAATTTGATGGTGCCTTCCCTGATGCTTACCTCAGTAGGTTGCAACACGTGACTTTGATCTCAGAAGTTAAGTATGGTCAGCTCTGATAGTAGTTGGAAGAGTTCCAATAAGGAATTCCAGAATTGTTGACTAGGCTGTGAGTTTGAAAAAAAACCCTAAAAAGAGGGCCAAGTTTCCATAACATTGCTTAGAACATGGGTCTCCAATCTTGGCAACTTTAAGACCTGTAAACTTCAATGCCCAGAATTCTCCAGCCAGTGCTTAAGTCCACAAGTTGCCAAGGTTGGAATCCCTTGGCTTAGAAGACTTAGAAAACTGCATTGATGTAATTAATTGGTGACAAGCAATTATGTTTAGGAGTGTCTACTTTTATTTACCTACATCTCTATTCCTTCTGCAAAGAATCCCTTTGTCTGAATGAATCAGCACCAACAACCCCCCCTAAAGCTCTCAGAAGAAAAATGGAAAGCCCAGAAGATAAACTTTGGTCTTAGATTTTATGGCTAGATGTAAAAGGAGGATTCTGCACATTATACCTCCAGTTCGTTTGCGATCTTTCCTTTAAATTTTCTCTCACTTCTCTGTTTACTATTTTGCTTAAAGAATCCTCTTTTTCTTCAGAGGAAAATGCAATCATTGAGCATTGGTATGACAGAAATTGTGAATGCAATCACAGGAAAAGTATGCAAGTGTAGGCAGGCAAATGTCCATTTAAAATCTTGAAGTACCTAATGTCATGCCCAAATTATTAGGGTCAGTTAACTATTTACAGGACAGGACAGACCAATAGTGATATTATGGATAGTATGTCAGACTGATAGGAGAACCTAGGTTTACATGTAATTATGGTTACTAGATGAATTTGACAGCTGGAATGAATCCAGAATATTTATTCTCTGGCTGGAATTAATGGTGATCTTAATCTAATTGTCTTATCAATGCTATCAGTCAACCATAACAGGGCTGTGGCTGGCAGATGGCTTTTTACTGGCTGATGCTCAGAAACAAAGAGCAGCAAAACCAATTGGCTTAACCAATGGGTTGGTTTAGCATCCCTTGCATATATAAAATCAAGGTAGTATCTTGAGATGGACAATCGATTTTTTTTTTTTGCAGGGGCTGATTTCTGTTTGCTCACATATGACTGGGAGGCTAATTCTGGAGCCCTGGAAAAATGTCTTCACTCTCATGAAAATTTAACATTTAGACAATTATGTACAGTATTTGCAGGATATTGTACTGCTATAGGAGCTTGAAATAGCATAAATAAGTAGTGTATGGGGAAGGGCTGTTAAATTATGTCCTTACCTGACTTTGTTTTTTTAAAAATACTTAAAAGAGGTGCTTCAGCTGCTTTTTCAGCTTTTGGACCAAACAGCTAGCAGGAAGCTTGCAGTTTGGAAAGCAAAATAATGCACACTCACACTCAGAATCTCTCATGTACACTCTTCATTTTTAAAACCTTTGGAAATGTCAATAACTCTTAAGTGAACTTATATAGGTCTCTATTTATTAGCACATTCCATCAAGTGAGAAGTTGATTAGTCTTTCTCTATGATCTAAAACACTTTAACACAACTTTCTTTTATCTGGTGTTCCAGATGAAACCAGCTTGGACCACAACTTCCAAAATTTGACTGATTTGCCAAATTCTGAAAGCCAGATCCACTTCTTCCAGGGGACACCAACTTTGGAAGATTAGCAATAGCCATAGCACTTAGACTTATATACCCTTTCATAGTGCTTTACAGCCCACTCTAAGTGGTTTACAGATATTGCCCCCAACAACCTAAGTCCTCATTTTATCAATCTCAAAAGGATGGAAGACTGAGTCAACCTGGAGCCGGTAAGAATCGAACTCCTGACAGTGAGCAGTGAATTAGCCTGCAACACTATTCTAAGCACTGCGCCACCATAGCTCAGGCAAACAGACAGAGTTCTGTCACCATAGTATGGATTCAGAACAGAGTGGACTGACCATGTCCAGTCATGTTCTTAATGTAACAGTGCTTATTAACATGACCAGCTGACTTAGGATCATGCATGTCTTTCACCCTTTAGTCAGAAATGTTATGATAGAGTTATAGTTCTTTTTCCGCACATCTATCAACAGGAAGGGATAATTATTATTAAAAGAGGTACATCTTTGAAAATCTTCTGTCATATCCTTGAACCTTTTCCTGGCAAACAGCAAACTTCATTAGCTGATAGATTCGGTCAACATATGTTTGTTTCAATTGTTGGAATCCTAAAAAAACTCAACTACTATTACACTTTGTCTTCTTATTGGGCACAGTTTCTTCCTATTTATCATTTAGGGAGTCATGGCCTGTTTCACGTTCATTTTCATCCTTCTGTTCAGAATTCGAAGGAACTGAGTATTGTTTCTGTTTTCTAGCGGAGACTACATCTTCATTTCTTGATCTTGGTGTTTACTTTCATCCAGTGCATTTGATAATGCCTTTTCCTCTACTTTCACTATCTCTCTCTCTCTCTTTTTTTTTTTTAAAACTTTGGAGCTTCCTTTCTTAAAGGGTAGCAATTTGAGCTCCAATTCCATGGCTTTTTCTCAAGGCTTCCTATACATTTGCATTTGCTGCAAATGTATTCCAGCTTGTTTTCAGAAAGGAAGACAAATGCCACAAACATTGCAGGTCACAATTGCAAATTCTTGTTTGTTGATCTTCAGGTTATCTTCATAAAGCACTTCAAGTAGAAAGGCTTTTATTTCTTGTTGTTGTTCCTTAGGCGCTCACATTAGCCAAGTACAATTGGCTTAGAGGTAAATTGGTCAGAGTCTCCCACAAGACTCTCCAGGCAAACTAGTTTATTAATCTTGTACAACCTGCCATCTTTCATTAAAAATGTTTCTGTGGATTTTTAAGATTGACTGATTACTATCATTTTTTTTAAAAAAACACCAAAGCATTATTAAATTACCCCAAATTAATCAAAAAAAATTTGTGCGAAGAAGGGAAGGAATAACTAATAGGAAGGCATTAGTATAATAAATATCTTTTACAGGTTAATTTTATTATTTTGAAAAGTGGTGGACAGTAGAAGCATTGGGCAATAGAGAATTTTGGGGGGGGGAGGAAAATACAACGCAATAGATATATTATTTATCTGAATTTCCGTAACAAGAAGCAGCACTACCACCCCCAAGAAAGGACCCTTCTCTTACAGCTTTTTGCAGTAGAGGACATGACTTCAGTATTTTCTGCACTGGGAGGAAAAAAAGCAAAAAAATAGTCTGTATCAGAAGTTTTTAGAAAACAGAAATTAGCATCTCACAATAACTGTTTTATGTTCTCATCTACTGAACATAATTTTAGACCTCAGTTCTGTGCCCATCCACATGGTATCAAACCTCAGCACAGACTCAGTAAAACTGACTTCTAAATATGTAGCAGATGCTATTTAAGGGTATTCATTAATAAATATATGTAGTGAGGGATGGGTGGGAAGTACAGCTCATCCACTGTCCTGGCAAAGATGTAACTTTTCATCTTAAATCCAAAGTTAAAATTGTGATAAAAGTGCTTGAAACATTTTTCTGGGGCTACTTTACTTTCGGCTCCATGTCCAATGTAAAATTGGATTAAATAAAAAAGTTCAGATTAGAGAAAACAAACAAAATCTTCACAATATATAATTCTACCCACCATTCTTTAACCAAGTGTTCAGCATTCATATGCTGCATAAAATAAATGCCAGTGACAATAAGTAAGAGCCTTGCTCCTACAAAGTTCATTTGTTACTATATTACTCAAAGTAATTACGGTTTGAAGATATATTTCCAGCAGAAGGCAAATTATTTGTTATAGTGATAGTGAATTCAGTCTTTGCCTGGGATGTGGTAATGGTGTCCTATTACTGATACTTCCTGATGTGTTCATATGCTTATTTTTTTCCCTGCTCTCCATAGCTGCTATTTTAACCCTTTACCCCTTGCTCTTCAGTCTTCTTCAGGCTCTCCATCCCGTGATCACATACAGTTTAATTCAGGGCCCCTGGAATTCAGCAGCACTTCCTGGCCAGCTTCTGCGGCAAGGGTAAGCGAATTCTGCAGCAAATGTCATTCTGCATTATGGCAGTGAGAGTCTGAAACCATCTGCCACTCATGCATCCACCTAACCCAGCGTTGGCTGCAGAATTCCAGGAGCCCTGAGCTTTTCCATGGCCATAGAATTGCTCATTGGCTGTGGAATTTCTTCATTGGGAGGGAACAATCAATGCGCCACATGACTTTTCAGGTGGCTAACTTGTATGTCAGTGGAAGTGGGTTGACACTCCATGCCAGCATCTTTGTTGTTTGTGAGATGAATATATCAGAGTTTTGATGTTTAATCAAAACTCTGGAATCACAGCACGTCTCTACTTCTCCATTTATACCCTTTCCTATATTGTTCTGAGAGGATATAAACAGAAGGCCGCCATTTTGAATCTCTTGGGCCCAAAAATATATTGCTGTAAATCATCTTCTCATTGTATGTCTTGGGAGGGTAATTTAGAGAAAATGCTTAGGTTTATAAGTTGGACAACAGGCAACAGAAACAACATACATGTAACCAGTCTTTTCATATTAGTTTTACGTTGCATTGGACATGACTGAAGCTGGAAGTGAAGGCCCAGAAATAAGAAAACAAAATTTCAACATTCAATTTTCTAAGCGGCAAATACCTTCTTGTACATACATAAATATACACAGAATGCAGCAAGTAAACAATAGATTGTTCACTGAAGAGGAACTGATAGTTTCTGAGGTGCAATTGCATCTTTAATACCATGCGAACTTCCTGTCTTGGGCAGATCAAGGATCATTTAGTCCAGCATGCTGTTTTCTAGAGCAACAGGATGGATGCTTACAAGAAGCCCACAACCAGGAAAAGTAGCCTGTATATTGGCTACACCAATGTGAATGATAAACACAGATAATAGCCAACTGCAATCCCCAGCATTTGGGAGTTATCAGTGTATATCATTGATATTGATGTAGTCGTTAAGCCTAGAAACCAGGAGGCTGTAAGTTTCAGTCCTGCCTTAGACAAAGAGCTATCTAGGTGCCCTTGGCCAGACTCTCAGCCTTGGGAACCAGACAATGGCCAACCATTTCCAAGAAATCTTGCCAAGAAAACTGCAGGGACTTGTCTAGGCAGTTGCTAGGAGTCAGCACTGACTCCAAGGCACCCCAGAAATATGTACAAGCAACCAAGTTGATCATACAAAACAACATTAGTATTTACATATTAATGACCAATGGTAGTAGCTGGTGCATTTTAATATTTTCTTTTTACACAATTTCTTCTCTTCCTGTCTCACCTTTCATATATGTAATTGCCAATTTCTATAGCTTTCTGCCTCATCCAACAGGACAGAAAGCCATAACATCAGCACCACTGTTATCACTTTCATAATCCAAAACCTATAAACAGATCTGTAGCAAAGTAAAAAATATATATATATATGATAAGAGTTTTAATACTGTGCTTTTCCTTCGGGAAAGTATTTCTTATACTCTCACTGACAGGTGATGCCCTCTTGTGGTAGTAATGTTCTTGACATCTAAAAGTCTCGTTTTGGATTTTTCCTTTGGCTATCTAGTGGTAGGACTAGAATTTTAATTAGGAAAACAGTGCTGAAAAGAAATGAGACAGCCTTGATATGGTCTTAACTATTCCTGCCATATGAAACCTTCAAATTTTTATGAGTCCAGAATTACACACCAAAGCTCCATGCCTTTTAAACTGGTCTGCCATTGGTTTTCCATTGAAAAACTTCAGCTTGAATGGTATAATTTGCAAGATTCAGTTTTTGGGAAGATGGCTTCTTCCCTCCTTAATGCATTCCCTGCTCCTGGCATTCCTTGCTAGTATCCTGGATTGACTGTCTCCTCATCCACATTACTAGGTAGAATCTCCAATGGTGAAAATTTGAAACGCAGGAGAAAAGGGGGAAAATGCTTGTAAAATGCATTGACTGGAACTACTTTTCTCAGTTACTGGCTGGCAGAGAAGTAGCGGCTGAATTTTAATAAAGTGTCTGATGAGATTTTATTTGAATGAAATGCAATCTGCGAAGCACTTGGGGAGCACATCAAAACTCCCTGTGGGATAATAGTTGCCAAGATGTTTGACTCAGGCCTCTAAAAGGAAACATACACCATCACCATACACTTTTTAAATATAGCACCTAGGAATACTTCCACCTTCTTTCCATGAGATTATAATTTTTTCAATGTTGAAAAGAAATCCCCATTTTTAGGCCTGGCCTTGCCTTATGATTTTAAGCACAAGGGCCTTTCCAAATCAAGGCCGTTGGTTTGCATTAAGAACGCCTGTCTATATTTTGATCGTATTTCCATTGTACAGCTGAAATGTAGTTTTTTGTCACAATATAAGCATGGAGTTTTCCAGTTAGCAACAACCACCAACTTTGTTTTAATTGCGGGGTTTGGGAGTTCTGCAGTAACTTGGCCTCTTGATGCAAGCAAAATCAGTACTGTATGGGCAGAAGTGTGGGGAAAACACAATCTGGTTTGATTTTGCCTGCTTTCATCAGGGAAGTGGGTTTTTTGTGCCTAGTTAATGACAAACATATTTAAATGTTGTTTGAACTTAAAATGGAACAGTCTTTGTTTTGTCCAGAATTGCAGTTGCATCTCTGGCAGTTAAACAAAGGCTAAATATATTTACTCCAGAGTAAGTTATACGCAGTGGGAGCTTGTTCTTAGCAAAATATCCTTTGGACCGGGCAGCCCAAACCTACAAGGGTTGCATGTCTTTTAAGCTACTAGTAGTTATAGATTTTATACTCAATGGAGGTTAATGTAATTAAAACATTCGTATGTTAGTATGATACATATGAAAATACAAACAGGCCCTAGCTATAGGGCAGATGTCTTCGTTTGTCAGCTGATTTGAAATAGCTTTTGATTCTGAAGTTGAATATTTAAATTTTGAATTACACTATTTTATTTTGTTATGCTCTACTATAAACTGAAACAAATTTCTTTCCATCCCATTACCTCCTCCATTTTGCTCCTGGATTTTTAAAAAGACTTTTCCAGCAGATAAAAGTATTTTGTTTCATTGGGAGAGAAATTGTGCACATGATGCAGATCAGCATGCCTGCAAAGGCAATCCTTTAGTTATCCAGTCATCTGGATCATCTGCATGCAATACCAGCTGCTTTTCTCCATCACTCCTAGAAGAAAATTGTTCAGTTCCAGAGTACCTCTGATGGAAGTTGTGTAATCAAAAGTTGTGCATCTTCCTCTATCCAAATCAGGCCCTTATGGCAGCAATATCATTTTAGAAACAGTGCCACTTTGTAATAGGTTTCTTGTTACAACCATGAACCATCTCAAATGTCTGATACCCCATGAGTATGGCCTACAATAAGCAGGTTCGATGTGCCAGTTTATGCTTTAGACTTTAGCAGATTTCGGAACAAATGTCTGTTAATCCCTCAAAAATCATGAAAGCGACAAGGTCAAATTGATCTCATTGAAACATCAGCTATGATCTTAATATATAATGACTTTAATAGCAACTATGAGCTGCAAATAAGGAGAATATAATGTGTCATCAAGAGGCATGGACTACAGGTAGTCCTCAATTTACAACAGTTCATTTAGTAAATGTTCAAAGTTACAATGGCACTGAAAAATGTGACTTATGGCCATTTTTCAACGTTACAACCTTCACAGCATCCCCATGATCATGTGATCATAATTCAGATGCTTGGCAACTGATTCATACTTATGACCATTGCTGTGTCCCAAGATCACGTGATCACCTTTTGCCACGTTCTGACAAGCAAAGTCAATGGGGAAGCCAGGTTCACTTAACAATCGCGTTACTAACTTATCAGCTGCAATTATTCACTTAGCAACTGTGGCAAGAAATGTCATAAAATGAGGCAAAACTCACTTAACAAATGTCTCACTTAACAACAGAAATGTTGGGTTCAATTGTCGAGGGCTACCTGTAGTGTAACACTATGGTATCTGTTGCTTCATGATACAGCTCTCAATTGTAATTGTAATGGACAACTGAAGCATCAAGGTAGAAAGGTTAGACAAGAACTGTCCAGACCTCACAGTAAAGAGGGAGAGGTTTTTAGCACATTATTTTCCTCTGTATGGTAGAGGTCTCTCTGTATTATGGGTATGGGTATGTTCCTTATTAACCCAATGATCTCTTTTACTGCAACTGGAGCTGCTGCTATCAAACATCCTTCTCCTTTACGATACTTTATAGAAGTTTTAAAAATCTGGGTTTGTCACAATTAGTTAAAATACTGCTTGTCAATGATAGTCTAGACTCACATTGTTCATTACATAGCTTGACTTTTGGTGGAGTAGAAAACTTGAATCAAATATTACAATCAGGGCCATAAGGATAACTATATCTATCTATCTACCTACATATTTATCATCTATATCTGTCTGTCTGTCTGTCTGTCTGTCTGTCTGTCTGCCTGCCTGCCTGCCTGCCTGCCTATCTATCTATCTATCTATCTATCTATCTATCTATCTATCTATCTATCATCTATCTATCATCTATTTATCTATATCTGTCATCTATCACACGGGAATCATATTCACTGTATCGTGTTGCCGTCAGGACATTTCGTGACGCATCCGGCCTGGGGACCACCAGTTTGACACCCCGATCATATCTATCTGTCTATCATCTATCTATCTATCTATCTATCTATCTATCTATCTATCTATCTATCTATCTATCTATCTATCTATCTATCTATCATCTCTATCTAGCTCTTTCTCTCTGTGTGTATATATATATGTCTGTCTGTCTGTCTGTCTGTCTGTCTATCTATCTATCTATCTATCTATCTATCTATCTATCTATTTATCTATCTATCTATCTATCTACTGACCACCTCACTGTTACAGTGACTCTGGAGTCTTGGGAAAATGTTATCATATTTTGAAAGTAAGAAGTGCTTTCATTATGCAATTTTGGAATATAGTCAGTAAGAGTCAACATGCTCTGTTTGGATGTTTGATGAATGGGGCCATCTTACTTTAGCAAATAAGGAATTTGAAAAAAAACAAAATATTTGGTGATAAAACTACGGCAAGAAAATTGAGAGAAGGGGAACTGTATTGCATTAGTTCCTATATTTCTTCACCAAATTCTCTTTCTAAATAAAACTAGCTTGTTTTGTTCAATTTATGATTTATTTTCTCTTCCTCCTTTTTTAATCATAGGGAAAAAAGAAAAGACGAACAAGAGAAAAGCAGCAAGATTCCAATTCAGGTAAACCTCCTGGTGTAAAATCTAGCACATTATCTGGTTACTGATCACTTCATTTACATTAGTAAGAAATTAGCCAAACAAGATTTTTTTCCAGGATGGGTTATTGGGACTATCTATGCTTTACTGTCTACACTAATCTTTCTAGCTTTGCCACTATCTACAATTATAAATTTGTCTGATATTCTGTGATGACAATATCAACAGACCAAAAGTAACTAATTCATGTTAACTGTAGTTTGAAGTACCAACTAAATCCCATATTTTTGCCTTGACGGTCTCTACATCTGTGGCTGTTTCAATTTTTTTCAATAACAAATGAAGAAAGCATAAGTTAAAACATTTACGAAACATTTAGAATAGAATAGAATAGAATAGAATAGAATAGAATAGAATAGAATAATTTTTTATTGGCCAAGTGTGATTTAACTTCCAATCCAACATCCAAAAAGGTAGTTTTTGCAACAACTACCCAAATATACAAAAGGTATCTTTTTGAGGCCAAAGGACTACATTAAAAAAAAAAAAAACCTCAGGAAACTGAGTGGGTTCAAAGAGGAAAAAAAGCATGTAAATAAAAGACTTGTAAATAAAATAGATTTTAAAATAGATTAAATGAAATTCTGCCTTGGCAATAGTTGCCAGATTCTGTTTTTATAACTAGATTGTGGAAAAGTACGGTAGACTTTTATGGTGTATGTTTTTCCTTTGTAATCAATTAAGATTAGTTCCTATTTTTAAAATGTATCTAGAAACTTTCAATCAGCACAAAGGCCTTTGTTTAGGGGATTAGAAATAGTTAACAGGCATGATGCCTGTAACAGTAATAAGTTTCTCAGAAGGATATAAAATCTTAACAGACATATTCTCATATATGCTTTTTTAATATGTTTTTCCTTAAAATTAGTATTCACATATTATAATGAAATGAATCCATTTTGTCATTCGATAGGGCATTTGGAAAGATGCCAATGAAAAAGAAAATCAGATTAATTCCAAAACACTTCTTAAATTTAATTTATATTAAGCACATTTTAAATCTTAAATACATTCTGGATAATGAACATTAGTCGATTTCTCTTTATGACTCTTGAGCCCTTTTTAAAAAAGAAAAGAGTAAAAGTAAAAATCGGTTCCAAATTTTCAACAGCAAGAGGAAAAGACCCCACCAAAGCTTTTGGAATGTTAGTTTCCCATACATATTATAATATTGGCTATTGTCTCATATAGATTTGTTCTAACAGTAACACATAATTTTCTAGGTCTCAACGTTTGATACAAGAGCTTGGAATCCCTATTATCAATAATAAAAACAAGGGATTCCTATAGAAATTTACTGAGGCAGCCATTATTTTGGACTAAGCATCCCTGCGCTGAAAAATGTCTACAGAAAAGCTTGGTCAAGCAGAAGTAGTATATAGCCATGTGAAAACTATGTGTATAGCAATAGCACTTAGACTTATATACCGCTTTACAGTGCTTTACAGCCCTCTCTAAGTGGTTTACAGTGTCAGGATATTGCCCCCAACAAACTTGGTCCTCATTTTACCGACCTTGGAAGGATGGAAGGCTGAGTCAACCTTGAACCAGTGAGACCTGAACTGCCGAATTGCTAGCTGATGATCCCGTGTAGATCATAATAGCTGGGTGGGCTGGATCTCCAAGAGTATTAGTTCAGCAACATCTGGAGGGCTATATTCTACTTCCGATCTAGACTGTAGCTAAGCATCATTAATTTCTAAGTGATTTCTTGGTCCCCTTTTTTCCAACTTATTTAACAATAAGGATTTGGCACATAGGATGTCGCTAAGTTACTTCTTCATGTAACAAAATCCTAACATAAAAAGACCTGCTTGCTTGTTCGGCAGAATTTCAGATCTAATCAAACCTAAAGGGAGTTTTCAAATATTGTCTAAAAAATGCATAGGTTGAAACACAAAAGTGACCAAAATGAAATAAAGAATAAAACACTAGTATGAGCCACAGTGACGCAGTTGTTAAGAGTGCAGTACTGCAGGCTACTTCTGCTGACTGCATGCTGCCAGCAGATTGTCAATTCAAATCTCACCAGGCTCAAGGTTGACTCAGCCTTCCATCCTCCCGAGTTGGGTAAAACAAGGACCCAAACCGTTGGGGGCAATATGCCAACACTGTAAACCGCTTAAAGAGGGCTGTAAAGCACTGTAAAGTGGTATATAAGTCTAAGTGCTATTGGTATATTATACTACTGCAATTTCATTTTCCTAATCATTGCATTTGTGGCCCTATCAAATCTATTTGTTTAACACTCATTTTCTGGGGGGAAAGATGATGTTAGTAGACATTTATGGTGAAGAATTGAGTTCACATGGCCTGTTTAGTTTTGTCTTCAGCAGCTAAACCAACGTTGCATCTTTTCTTCCTTTTCCTGCTCTTGCTGCTGTTTGTGCCTCTGCCTTGCCCATTCAATGCGCATGCTCCTTGTTCAGATCCTGCCTCTCCTAAGAAATGCAGAGCTCGTTTTGGCCTCAACCAACAAATGGACTGGTGCGGCCCATGCAGGTGTGTATCAGGAACCTTCGCTTTGCAGCCTTGTTTCTTACCACAAAGATGGTTGTACTCTGGTTTGATTTACCTCTCTTGCATCTTTTCTATAGCTGCCTTTTCTAACTCTACTAATGGTGCTGCTTAGGCTTGCTCTCAATTTTCCACATGCTTCATTTAAGTGACCTACAGATGCTTTCTGCATTTAACGCTGAAGAGAGAAATTAGTAACATAGCTAATGTATATGGAGGGAGGGGGACCCTTTTTTTAACTAAAGTGGTACACAGAAAAATGGTTAAAATTTTTGAAAACGGTATCAGATTTATTTAAAATGGACCAAAGGATAAAAGTGGTAAACTATAAGAATACTTTTCCATGAATCAGTAACCGAAACCTACTGACATGCCGTTCCTTGCCAATTGCCAATCCAAACAGTATGGCTTCTAGGATCCTCCAAAGTGTCTCTCTCTTCTTTAGTCATCCTTTAGGAAAAATGACCCCTGTTCCTTAAGAATTTTGGTTAAGGAAGCAACGACATTTATTATTCCTGGTATTGGTTTCAATACTTATGCATCAACAGTCCCCTGCAATTAATTGTTTTCTTATCCTGACAAATGAAGTAATCTGTGGCTGAAGATAATATAAATATACTGTCCCCACTTTTTTTCTTCCAGAACAAACAGATCCAGACTGTTTTTAAAGTAATAGATGAAAGAAAAAAGGTGTAACACAAGACTCTTCAAAGATGTGCTTGTAGCACAGACAGGACTTCCCAGTATTTATTTGGCGGGGAGGGTGTAAGATTACTAAACAAAATATTCTGCAAATGTAATACAAACCTAACGGCTTCCATTTATGATAGGAACAATAGTAACAAAGTAATAGTCTATAAACCAAAGTCTTTCTACTTGAAAGACACTGTAACACAGAAAAGAACAGAGCCTTCAAACATTGAGTAGGGGAAACGGATCCTTCCTTTCCTATGTAAACCAGCACTGATAAGAGAATATCTACTTACCTCTTCCATAACAATGTTCTAATCTTGGTTTTGTTTAGAATAGAGGACAATTTATAAAAGGGCCTATATTTTTCATACTCTTACATACATCTTTACTATTGATGGCTCTGTCCTTTCCTTTGGAGAGCTACTTAGCCCTTAAGAACACCTTGGTGCTCTTTGGAAGCACCATGTCAGGATGTTTATTCTAGATTTGGGAGATCATGGGTCGAAAATCATGTTCTCTCAGTCTATCATGATTCTACCCAATTTGTTGATTCAAACAATCTGTATCCTCCAATTAAATATATAATTTTTACTTGATTGATTGGTATAATGTTGGTTTATTGGGCAAAGGAATTCAGTACATAATAGATTCTGTAACTATGTGTAACGGTTGCATCATGTCTACCTAGCCATCAGAATATGCTTAACTTCTAAGAAAAAAACCTTCAATATTCAGATTATTCTTATTTGATATTAAATGTTTCTTTTATACTACCATGTAGTATAAGTAAGTTAAAAATTGATTTCAAGACTAGAAACAATAACTAGGAACTAGTGAACATCTCAAGTGTGCCCATATTTGTAATGCTAAACTTTTCTTTCTCAGTATGTATTTGTATTGAGGCAAGAATTAATATTTTGCTTGTAATCAGCATTGCTTCCAGATTAACAAAAGTAGTTGAGCTGCGTCCTCCTCCTCTTATAAAATGGGATGCACAAACCAACTGAAAGGCAGCAGGACAGTGATAATGTCTAGATAGGCAGTATGGGTGGATCTTATTACAATTCAAATCCTTGGCTTCCTGGTTTATTCCCTCAACATAATGATTCTACAAATTTTCAAATGTTGCATTTTCTTGAAGTTGTTTCACAGTGCAATAAAGATCTCCACACTTTTAAGACAATTGTTCTATTTCAATCTACTTTAGACTTCCTCTCTTCAGACTCCTACAGAGCCAGAATGTAGGCTGAAAAGAATCTTCTTTGGCAAGACCTGTGAGAGAAGATGCCTTCTCAGCACAGGGTATACATCTCCTAGCATAGGCTGGGAGAATATAGCAGAACATTGTCCAGTGTATTCTAGGCTGAGGCAGCCAGTGGTACCATTGGCTTGTTTTTCTCAAGATGGTTGGCAAGGAGTACTCCCCAGCAGGTGCCAGATAGGTCAGATAGGAGTGAGCAAGGTGCACCACCAGCTCACCTGTTCTGACACATGCTTGTCAGACTTTTTGCCAGTCAATGCCAAAAGGACTTGAAGTGAAACTGTCACCAGTTCTGCCCATGCTGGTCAACAGTTCATAGATGTGTGGCTGGCTGGCATCAATAGTTCAACTCTCCAAGGTAGAATGGCCAAAATACTGCCATTACTGCTCCTACTTTCTTTTTGCATTCATAAGTTGAAAATCCTCAGACTGAAGTGCTTTGAAGCTGGCCACTTTTATTGCATGCTGCAAAGAACTCTGTTGTGTTTGTCAAAAGCAACCTGTTTGGAAAACCTTTACGTACCAAGAGGGCTCAGGTAGGCTGGCTGTGGTGTTTGCTACAGAACTGCCTAGAACATTCCCATCATATGGTTGCACCATTGATCCATTCTCATAAACTGAAGACTTTCCAGGCTACATAGCTTCATTGCACGCTATAGGTAATTTTGCAGTTGCCTGGCAGAAAGTCCCATCAATTGATCCTGGGTGAAAAGGCTGAGAGAGCCCATTTCCCACAGCCTTTGCCCGAAGTGGTTTGAGAGCACCTAAATAGCTTAATCAAGGTGAATTAGATGGCCTTTTCTGGTTAAAATTAATTTGTTTGCTTTCACAGTTCAAACATGTTTGTCAAAATAAATCTTAATGATTTGCCCAAGCTGTATTGGAAATATGCAGAACTGCAATGGAAAATATAAGATTATAGTTTTGAAGTTAATGTGATATCCTTTGTTAGTCAAGTGGTACCTATCACCAATGAATTACACTGCTCAAAAAAATAAAGGGAATACAAAAATAAGACATCCTATATCTGAAAGAATGAAATATTCTTAGTAAATACTTTGTTCATTACATAGTTGAATGTGCTGACAAGAAAATCGCACAAAAATTATCAATGGAAATCAAATTTATCAACCCATGGAGGTCTGGATGTGGAGTTACACTCAAAATTAAAGTGGAAAAAAACACTACAGGCTGATCCAACTTTGATGTAATGTCCTTAAAACAAGTCAAAATGAGGCTCAGTAGTGTGTGTGGCCTCCACATGCCTGTATGACCTCCCTACAACGCCTAGGCATGCTCCTGATGAGGTGGCGGATGGTCTCCTGAGGGATCTCCTCCCATACCTGCACTAAAGCATCCCCCAACTCCTGGACAGTCTGTTGTGCAACGTGGTGTTGGTGGATAGAGCGAGACATGATGTCCCAGATGTGCCCAATTGGATTCATGTCTGGGGAACGGGTGGGCCAGTCCATAGCATCAATGCCTTCGTCTTGCAGGAACTGCTGACACACTCCAGCCACATGAGGTCTAGCATTGTCGTGCATTAGGAGGAACCCAGGGCCAACCGTACCAGCAGATGGTCTCACAAGGGGTCTGAGGATCTCATCTTGGTACCTAATGGCAGTCAGGCTACCTCTGGAGAGCACATGGAGGGCTGTGCGGCCCCCCCAAAGAAATACCACCCCACACCATTACTGACCCACTGCCAAACCAGTCATGCTGGAGGATGTTGCAGGCAGCAGAACGTTCTCCACGGCATCTCCAGACCCTGTCACGTCCGTCACATGTGCTCAATGTGAACCTGTTTTCATCTGTGAAGAGCACAGGGCGTCAGTGGCGAAGTTGCCAATCTTGATGTTCTCTGGCAAATGCCAAACGTCCTGCAGAGTGTTGGGCTGTAAGCACAATCCCCACCTGTGGACGTCGGGCCCTTATACCACCCTCATGCAGTCTGTTTCTGACCGTTTGAGCAGCCACATGCACATTTGTAGCCTGCTGGAGGTCATTTTGCAGGGCTCTGGCAGTGCTCCTCCTGTCCCTCCTTGCACAAAGGCGGAGGTAGCAGTCCTGATGCTGGGTTGTTGCCCTCCTACGGCCTCATCTCCTGATGTACTGGCCTGTCTCCTGGTACCGCCTCCATGCTCTGGACACTACGCTGACAGACACAGCAAACCTTCTTGCCACAGCTCGCATTTATGTGCCATCCTGGATGAGCTGCACTACCAGAGCCACTTGTGTGGGTTGTAGACTCCGTCTCATGCTACCACTAGAGTGACAGCACTGCCAGCATTCAAAAGTGACCAAACCATCAGCCAGAAAGCATAGAAACTGAGAAGTGGTCTGCGGTCACCACCTGCAGAACCACTCCTTTATTGGGGATGTCTTGCTAATTGCCTATGCTTTCCACCTGTTGTCTATTCCATTTGCACAACAGCATGTCAATCAGTGTTGCTACCTAAGTGGACAGTTTGATTTCACAGAAGTGTGATTGACTTGGAGTTACATTGTGTTGTTTAAGTGTTCCCTTTATTTTTTTGAGCAGTGTATAATTATTTCATACTCAAGGAAGCAGAATAATTTCTGAATGTATTCAAGTATGGACAGAGTGTCCTTGGAATTATCCCTGTCAAAACCACTACTCATCTCTAAATTGGGAGGAGGGGGTGCCTTTAAGACAATTGATTCCTGTTAACTGTTGGAACAAGTCCCTGCAGTTTTTAGGCAAGATTTCAGAAGTGGTTTGCAACTGCTTCTTTCCAAGGATTGAGAAAAAGTTATTGGTCCAAAGACACCCAGCTGGCTTCATGCCTAAGGCTGGGACTAGAACTCATGGTCTCTTGGTTTTAGCCCATTTCTAGTTTCTAACCACTAGACCCATGAATTCAACTTAAAACACGATCTATTCTCCACACAAGTCCTAAAACTAAATAAAGAAAACCCAATTAAACAACTGGCTCAAAAACATTATACTTATTTATTGGGAATTATCCAAATCTATATCTCTGTTGGGGGTGGGGGGGTTGCTTTCAGTAATCCCTTGGACAGCAATAACCATAATTAAACATTTCTGGTAACTTTGGATCTCAAGAAGCCTGCTCTGGATCCAGCTGTTTTGGCTAACTATCGTCCGGTCTCCAGCCTTCCCTTCTTGGCGAAGGTTGTTGAGAGTGTGGTGGTGCGACAGCTTCCTGGATACCTGGATGAAGCTGTCTATCTGGATCCGCTCCAGTCCGGCTTCAGGCCTGGGCACAGCATGGAAACGGCATTGGTCACGTTGGTGGATGATCTCTGGAGGGCTCGGGATAGGGGTTGCTCCTCTATCCTGGTCCTGTTAGATCTCTCAGCGGCTTTTGATACCATCGACCATGGTATCCTGCTGCGCCGGTTGGAGGGGTTGGGAGTGGGGGGCACCGTTTTGCAGTGGTTCTCCTCCTATCTCTCCGACCGGTCGCAGTCGGTGTTGGCAGGGGGGCAGAGGTCGACCCCGAGGCGCCTTGTTTGTGGGGTGCCGCAGGGGTCGGTCCTCTCGCCCCTTCTGTTCAACATTTATGTGAAGCCGCTACGTGAGATCATCCGTGGCTTTGGGGTGGAGTTCCATCAGTACGCTGATGATACTCAGCTGTACATCTCCACCCCAGGCCATCCCAACGATGCCCTTGAAGTGATGTCCGGTGCCTGGAGGCCATGCGGACCTGGATGGGGAGTAACAGGCTTCGACTCAAACCTTCCAAGACCGAGTGGCTGTGGCTTCCGGCGTCCCGATATAGCCAGCTGGTGCCATTGCTGGCTATTGGGGGCGAGTTATTGGCCCCCACGGATAGGGTTTGCAACTTGGGTGTCCTCCTGGATGCACGGCTGTCTTTAGAAGAGCATATGATGGCCGTGGCCAGGGGGGCTTTTTATCAGGTTTGCCTGATTCGCCAGTTGCGTCCCTTTCTGGATCGGGACTCCTTACGCACAGTCATTCAGGCGCTCGTCACTTCCCGCCTGGACTACTGCAATGCTCTCTACATGGGGCTCCCCTTGAGGAGCACCCGGAGGCTCCAACTGGTGCAGAATGCGGCCGCGCGGGGGATTATGGGAGTGAGGGGGTGTTCCCATGTGACACCTCTCCTGCGTGAGCTGCATTGGCTTCCAGTAGTCTTCCGGGTGCGCTTCAAGGTGTTGGTCACCACCTTTAAAGCGCTCCATGGCATGGGACCTGGGTATTTGCGGGACCACCTTCTGCTGCCGATAGTCTCCCACCGACCAGTACGCTCCCACAGAGAGGGACTCCTCAGGGTGCCGTCAGCCAGGCAATGTCGGCTGGTGACCCCCAGGGGGAGGCCCTTCTCTGTGGCAGCTCCTGCCCTCTGGAACGATTTGCCCCCGGAGATATGAAGGATATCGGATCTCCGGGTTTTTCACCGTGCCCTAAAAACTTTTCTTTTCCATCAAGCAGGGCTGGCGTGAACCACCACCCCCCTTTTTTAAGCCTTTTTTAGCTTTTTAAATTGTCAAATGGGTTTTAGTTTTCAATGTTTTAAATTTCGGGCCACAGTTATATAATTCTTTTAATAATTTTAAATTTTGTATTGGTATGTGTTTTAGTTCTGGCTGTGCACCGCCCTGAGTCCACTAGGAGAAGGGCGGGATATAAATTGAATAAAATAAAATAAATAAATAAATAAATAAATCTGTTTTGCACATCGGCTTGGAGAAATTTTAGCAGTTTTACAGTTATACCTCCATCTAGTGGTAAAAAATACAAGTTGACAATAAGGGTGTGTGTTTTTTTAATTCTTCTTACAAAAACCTGAGTAATAGGTGTTAAGAATGAATGTTTTTCCTTCTAATCCTTGTTCTTTAGACACTATACTTGTATTAAATGCTATACAATGCTTTCATTTAAAAAAAATATGACCCTGTAAATTCACCCTTTATTTACAGATAACTCTCTTCACTGTTCTTAGGAGGAAAAAGAAGTGCATTCGGTACCTACAAGGAAAAGGACACTGCTCCAGCCCAGTTTCTTCCAATGGAAGTACTATAGATTCCCCTCCCTCCTCTTTGGATGTGCTCCAGTGTACATCCCCTGCTTTTATTCCAAACAAGCTCGCTGCTCCTGCTGATCTTATACACCAAAACCAAGCCAATCCTTCTTCTTTATCTGCACATCTCAAAACTGCTACAAGCACATCAGGACTTCCTTCTAATAAATGTTCAACAATGCCTCATAAATCCATAGTGCCAGGTGAATCCTCAGGGCACAATATGGTATCAATAGGAACATAGTACTAATGTGATATCAAGGCGCACAGATACATCAGGCACTTTGCTGATTGGTTCTGCTGCATACAGAAGCTACAGAGACAACTTCAGCCTGCCATCAAATGGTATAGTCTTAAAGTCAGTCAAAAGCCAAATCAGAAAACAACACCGCTGCAGCACTAAAAGTGTTGTCTAAGTAAGGACATCAACAGTCTCTTTGAAAAGTATGAAGATAAACTTAATTCTGGTCAGTAACTGAATTATTTGATCTCTTTTCCAATTAAGATAAAAACAAAATACACTGATCTAATTGCAGATGAGAGGTGCTATAAACGTTAAGGCATTTATTAAACTACTATAGTCAAAGTCCTGAGTTTCAGCCATCCAATAGCTATTATACATTACAAAAGCAGTTGTTGAATGACAAGCTCAAATGTTCCACAGAAAAAGTATAAAGCAGCTTGTAAGAAACTAAAATATTTAATTATGCCTCATCTTTGGGATCAAGGATTGCATTAACCAATGTTTATTCCAGCAGCTTTATTAGGTGATAAAATAGGAGAAAACACTGGCTGTGAAAGTCTACCTAGTATTCCAGACATAGGGCTGTGTGCATCACAATTTTTCAGCTATAAAGATTTTTTATGCTATCTACTGTAAAATATGCAAATCTCAAAAATACTTATTTTTCACAATTTACCAAACTTTTGCTATGTAATCAATGGGAAAAAAGAAAAGAATATAAGCTGTGCCTCTAATCACTAAAAATTTATTCTGCAGTCTTAGTGGCTTCTTAAAAGCTTGCCAAGATTTACCCACTATCTATTTCAAGCCAATTGTGATCGCGCACTCTGCCTATAGAATCATTTCTGCAATTGCAGTATTGAAGCCTAGTCATATTCCTCATTCTCTGTATCCCTTTTGTCCATTTCACAGGGAAGATATTTATTTGAAAGTTATATGCTTCCCCAGAGCCCAATTCATTTTCAGTGCTAAGCAAAGTTGATTGCTTTGAACTTTAAACACAGATGGTCCCTTTCTGGTGCTTTAGAGATGGTAGTTTTTCTGAGAGGACAAATATACAATCCCACATTGATACCAATCCCAACATACTGAGATAATACTGGACAAAGGGTAGGAAAATTCATAATGTGGAGTAACTGAAATCGGTGAGTCACTTCATTACAATGGTATTTCAACAAACCTTATATTAACCTTTCTGGGAGTAAAGGAAGGTTGCAAAATCACAGCCCTGAAGAGTTTGCAACTCTTAATTTTATGGACTTGAAAGTAAACCACTTTTCTTAACTTTATGGAATTGAAACTAAATCACTTCACTCTATCTGAAAGGATCTCATTTTCAGCAAGATTAGAAAGACTGTAATGCTGACAGGTTACAGTTTGAAAATAGGGAATAAGCTGACCATAAATGAATCAAAGGTAGAATTGCAGGTTGATCCTCCTAATACTTGCATGATGTTCTCATTCAAGTATCTTAGGAACTCAAGGAAAAGGAGAAGAAAAGTGATTCCTAATCTGAATTTCCGAATTAATATCAGAAACCTCATTAAATCAAGAGTAGATAAGCGATAATCTCTTAGCCACTTTTTTCAGCCATCTGATTTAACCATCCAATATAATAGTATGACTGCTAAGAACAGCTGGTAATATTTTCCCCATGTTTTGGATGAGTTTTAGAGCAAACACTCACTCATAAAATGTAGTATAAATCCTAATAATTCAGCTTCAAAAATTTATCAGAGTTGGGAAAATCCCAGCCCACATACATTTATTTTACTTGTGCCTTTGTTACCTTTGAGCTACAAAACTACCCAAACAAGTACATGCAGTTTTCTTGGGAACAATTTTCAGAAGTGGTTTGCCATTGCCTTCATCCTAGGGCTGAAAGAATGTGACTTACATTAAGAATGTGACTGGCCTAACTCTCTCTTTTAAATTTTTAAATCGTTTAATCTGTTTTACAAATTGGGTGTTTTAAATTTGTTTTCGGCCAAAATATTTAATAATTTTAATGGACTTTTAATGTTTGTATTATCTGTATTTTATCTTGGCTGTTCACTGCCCTGAGTCCTCCGGGAGTAGGGCGATATAGGAATTTGATATAAAATAATAATAAAATAATAAAGTCACAGTTGATTTTGTGTCTACAGTAGGACTAGAACAATCATCCAGCTTCCAGCCAGTGCCTTGAGCCACACATGAAATAGTCCTCCATTAAAACCTTCAGTAACTCAAGAAAAACTTGGAGTGCCTTTTGACATCAGAAGGCTGCCCAAACTTGATTTCAAGTCTATGCAAGAGTACTTCCCCAGGAATATCATTTTGAAATTTTATTCTTTAAAATGCTGTACTTGATTTCTTCCTCCAGAAAGGCTCACCCGATAGTTCAGAGGAACTCTGAAATTAATGAAAGCCTCCTGACCCCAATATGATATAAGCATAGGTCATAAACGTAGCTGCATTTGCACCTACAGTCAGATGAGTACATAACTAGACTGCACCTACAAATCAGATGAGTACATAACAAGATATGCAAAAATGGAACTGAATTAACTATTCAATATTAATCAGCATGATTATCATTTATGTAACTACGAAGATAAGCTATTTTAGTTAAGACTAGAGCAGTCACAAAGATTTAGAAACAAGTTTCCAAAAATGCAAGTATAACTTAAATACCAAAAAGAGATGCTTAAAAATGCTGTATTAAATTTTCTATATTTTATCTTCCCTCGCTGTGTAAAATGAAAGCTTTTATCATGGTGTTTTACTCAAGTTAAATGTATACACAGCAAGTGCAATTATTTGCTTTTCTGAAGAGACTGAATGTACCATGTCATGGAAATTTAACTTTAATAAGCCACGAAAAAATCTCTGTATGTATGTAGCAGGGGAAAATTTCATTTGTACAATTATCATCTGGAGTTTTGTTTTGTCTTTTTTTAATCTTGAATTTGTTTTGCTTCTTTGTTTAAAATTTGTTTATGGCTTTATAAATAAAAATGATCTACCAGATTGTCCATTCAAAAATGGGTAACTGGGGACTATAATCCTATAAACAATGTTATATTTTTCTGTGCATATTTCCATATATTACAAAAATGTGACCATGACATAGTTTGTGAAGAAAACCAATGAGCCACAATAATTTTAGATTCAAGCATTCAAATTTAAAATTGAATATTTAGCACATTATCTAACAGTGTTAAAAGGACTTTATTCTTAAAGACAGTGTGCAAAAACTTCAATCAACACCAGCATCTTATGTACATAAATCAACAAAGCTAGATCTAGTTAGCCACTTGTTGACAATGGCAGTGAAAATTGACCGTTCTACCTATTTTCTTTATAATTCATAATTTTCTTCCTACAAAAAAAAATACTATTTCAGGGCAGGGGTCTCAAGTGGATATGGCTATAGCAGTTGAGAGAAAAGCTGTGATTATGTTAAATCTAATAAAGGCACTGTAGATGCAACATACAGGTGTTGCTGCCTGATTTTGTGTGAGCGCCCCTCTTATTCACTATACATATACAATGGTATATCAGCTGTGATCTTCAACTCTGAGTGAAGTACATGAAGTAAATATGTATCTCCAACTATTTTAAAGTGACATTTCACTAATTTATATTATTCAATGCTCAGACTGGTTCCTACAGTTAAACTGTGCCTCCCCAAATGAGTCTGTAGCAGCCACTTGAAAAAACCCAGTTGAATTCTTCTTCATATGGCTAAAACAGATTGAGTCTCATTTTTGCATCGGCCATTATTAGAAGGCAAATGGCACCTTCAAGTCAATGTTGATGCCTGGACTGCAATTTTCTTGGCAAGGTGTTCGGAAGTATTTCTTTGTAGAGCTGAAATAACACAACTGGTCCAAAGTCACCCACCTAATTTCATACTTAAGGTAGAACTAGAACTCATAGTTTACACCCTGGTGACTTGACCACTACTGTATGTGAAACTTGATTCTTTGGCTGGAAAAAGCATGATGGGTAAAAACACCTAGGCTGAGCTTCCCTTTAAGATTAAAAGAGAAATGCTATCTTGGGACAGTCCCTAACTTTTCTTCAGGTCAAAGGAGTGAAAAACAAAGTAGGTGAACAGCTGTTCTTCATTGATGAAAAAGACTAGGGTAATTTGCCAAAGTGCATACTGCGAGATGACAGTCAGCCACACTGCTTTGATCTCAGTTCTCACACAGCAATGTAGTTGGAAGGAACCAGCATAATTATGAACAGAACTAAGTTTCTGAAGTTGTAAAACAAACAATATACATTTTTTAAAAAATCTACCGAGAAGTCTCTATTACTACTCTTTTAGGCTCTAAGCTCTCTGCCCTTCTTGTTCATATGCCCAAAAAAGCATGGATTTCACCCAAATTTCCAGACAGATGCCAATTCCTATCAAGGCAATAGTTTCAATTCTCCTTACTACTTGCTCCCTTATAACAGCTGAACAATGAGAATGACTGAAAAATCATGGGGATTTGTATTACTTTTTTGTTTTTGTTTTTTTACAATAGAACATTGCTATCCTCTCAAGACAGATTTCAATGCTACACCATGCTGGGCTCAGTAGGCTGCCAAAGTGTGTTCCGAGACTTTACCTTGAAAATAGCAATGTATGTATACAAAAGTAAAACATTTAAGGCACACTTAAATGATAGAAATAGTAGTGGATGGATTGGAACAGAGACTTTGTTCAAAAATAAGATTCCATTGCTGTCATGTTTTTGATTGTTTTTTCATCACCCTGGCATCTAATTGTGACACGTTGAAAAGAGACAAATTCTAAAACTCCATTACTCATTTTATCCTCAGTAGATAAACTTATAGTGGTGTGTGAACTATTTTGTAGGAAACCCAATTATTTTTATATTATTAAAATATTACTAGTAATTAATCTTTTTGGCAACCATTTTATTTAAAAAAATATCTTTATTACTTCTGATAATGACCAAATTTGTGAAATTTATTTTATTTTATTTTATTTTTATTTTTTTATTTAAATTGCCCAGTATATGCACTTCGTTATGCATAGTTAAATGTTAAAATTCTTTACTGTACATGAAATGCTTAAGGTCATCACTGATTTTTAAATATTTAACTTTTATTCTACCTAGTGTTAATACAGAAATGGGATCTGCTTATTACATCTCTCTCCTCTAACCCCTAAACAGAATCACAAAGAATGAAAAAATTACTATCCTACTGGCAAGTGTTATGAACTTAAATAATACATCAATATCACCACTCAGCATGCAGTGATAAATCGCTGCAATCTGATGTAGTTTCTGATAGCTATAAGGAAATACTAAAACAGATATTAACTGTCCAAGAAATTGTTTTTAGAAATCTATTTTTGATCAAATACTCAAATTTTTATTGATTTTAAAAATACGTACATACCAAATACTATGCTTCTTTACAGAAACTACAAGTATTTAGCCAGAAGAGAGCTCTAACTGCCCAGGCGCTACCAGGGTCACACCTATATTAGATTAGAATGGTAGGTATCAAGCAGAGCTAATTTGCTTTAGTGTTTTAATAATGTAACTACTACAAAAGATGTAGAATGGAAGAATCCCAAAACAATTATTCCAACTTGTTTTTCAAAACATTTTGTGGCTCTTACTCCAAGAATAAAAGTAGGCTTCACTGATTCAGTTTCAGAAAACTTTTGCAAGTAATTTTATTTACAAGTTCAGAGACTTCTGAATTCTGACATGCTGAGGATTTTAATGTGACAGTGAAACATTCAGAAGCACAGAAGGTCTAGTTTGCAGTGCTAATTGCCATACAGAACTTGCATGGAGTTTAGTTTTATTTAGAGAAGAGGAAAAATAAGGAAATCAGATTACACTGATTAAACCATAGAATTTAAATCTATATTCAAACGTTACACATGCAAAGAGAACACCACCAGACTAGTACAACTTCATTTGCTGCTGCATTTGTCTAATATTAACAATTATAAACAGAGCAGTGCAACTGATATTTGGAACAATCCTTACAGTGTTGTTAGGTATCAGGCACAAAGCTTCACTTCTCTTCACACCACTGGTTTTCTTTGCGTACCTAAAAATAAAGATGAACCTTACAATTACACCTGAAGAGCAATATCAAATATGTCTTCTAGATATTTATATATCTATTATAGATATTTACTGTGAATTAATAGCACCCCTGTGATTCAAATTATTTCCCCACTTCAGATGTCTTCCAGATATCAAGTAGTATTTAAAAATAAGTGTACCATTGTATAAAACTAATATATCCATATTTATGGAAATATAGTTATGACTATTTTAGAACTGACTGCATGCAACTTTTTAACATGACAAACTCATTCTGCCAACAGAAAATCAAAGATGGGTAAAAATCTGGGGTGAAGAAATGGGTTTTATTAGCTTGATTACTGGTTGCAGGACACTAGCAGTTATTTTCAACATGCTAAATGATCGCTTGAAATAAAATGGATAAATGGTAGGACTTATGTCTAAAAATTTTCTTTGCAGTCCAACAATTATAGTGATAGTATTAAAAAGAATTATAAACAATCACACAGTGATTCTGTAGTAAAGAATTGGAATCTAACAATAGCAAGACTGAAACTATAAACTTAGGCTAAATAACTGCTAAGTGTTTTTCTCAATAGTGCTACTATAGGCCATGCATATGGCACTGTAGTCTAAAATCTAGATTGTGTCAGGCAACCTACTCTAACTCATCTTTAATCAGCAATAAATAAAAAATTAATAAAATATTTTGCAAGGCATCTCCTTTATCCCTGATTTTTTTCTTCCTAACATTTTTCCATAAAATGCTCTTTTTTTCTTTTTCTCTCTCTTGAACCGCCCCCTATAATCAGCAGCAACTACTGGAGTAAAATCCACAGAGTCCCCTGTACTGGCAATGCTCCTTGCAGAAATTCTGCTTATTCTGCCATCACTGTCTTGGTATCAGAGAGACTAGGTGAATTATTCTGCATAAAATATCTTGTCTTAGAAGGGACAAGTCCCTAAGTGATGACAGCCAAGGGAAAAAACTTAAGAGGTGCTAAGTTCTATGTCTAGAATAACAATTTGATTTGCGTATGTAAAAAATCTGTTTTTATATATACTGTAGTTCTAAGCTCCCTAATGAAAGAATAGCAATAGTGTATCAATACAAACGAATAGTAAGCTAGCTTGCCTGAGACTTCTTTTCCCAGCAAAGTCAGTGAATGGGACAAATTAGAGCACAGATTTATTTTAGCCATCATTTGATTTTAATTATATGAAGACTGAACTGCAAAATAAGTATTCGTTGTCTATAAAAACAAATAGTTTAGAGCAGGGTGTCAAACTCGCGGCCCATGGGTCAGATGCATCCGTGCTGGCTCCGCCCACCACCCATCTTAGCAAAGGGGAGAAAACTCCCGATACATCATGTGACGACGCGAGTTTGACAGCCCTGGTTTAGAGTCTTACTGCAATACCAGCTTCACAACAAACTATGTATACATTAATCAACAGAAAGCAACTATTTTAAGCCTACAGAAGCTAAAATAGTTGTAGGATTAAATAGTAAATAGATTTTGTTTTAAGTAAAAGGGCTTGACATACCTGGGCTTCCTCCTCCTCAGTGAAGTCATTTTTAATATTGAAAGTCTTGCGGATTTCTTCTGGTGTTTTTCCTTTAATCATATTTGCAACAGTCTTGCATGTCACATCCAGTAAGCCTTTGATGTCTAAGTAGTTTGCAGCCTTTATAGAAAGCAACAGATTTTTAAATGCAAATGCTCCATTATATAATAGTGCACATTATATTTCTAGCAGTAATCATACACAATAGCAACTAATGATAAATGAAATGAAGTCTGATGTAACTATTTTCTTGCTCGATCTAGAAATATTATTGCTAATGGCAATAACAAGCCTATCTCCCATTTACAGATTTTGTAAGGACTTCCAGTTAAAATTTCACAGTGCTGTTATAAATTCTGTACTTTGGAATACATATTCCATAAGACACAATATATCAGGTTTTCATTTTCAACTAGTTTTGCTGAGCTTTCAAAAAGCAGCAAGAACTACAAACCATATGTAAACATATGTACTTTCTCTTGTTTAAACTTCTGAGATAAACTAACCCAAATCTCAGCCTTGAATGCTGTAGGCATAGATAATTATATATACTTTAAGTCGGAGTCCCCAACCCCCCAGTCTGTGGACCAGGACTGGACCGCAGCATGCCAGAAACCGGGCTGTGCAAACAAGTGAAGTCCCATCTGCAGGATGCAGGCAGCACACAAAACCACACCTTCTCTGGTCTGCAAAAAAGCTGCTCTCCATAGAACTGGTTTCTGCTGCCCAAAAGGTGGAGGGGCCTGCTTTAAATTGTGTTTTTACTGAGTTGCTTGCGTTATCTCTCTCTGCATTTTTACAATCATGATGCTTATCTTTGACATTTGATATTTTAGATTTTAGGGCATTTTGCTTAACCCAACTGCAAAGTATTTACGATATTAAAATACATACAAACCCTATTATACTCTAATATTTCATTAGTCTGAAAATATCAGTGAAGCGGGATATACTAGACCGGGGGTCGGCAACCTGTTGCTCTTTGGGCTCTCTCCTGCGGCTCCCTGTCAAATGCTCCCATCACTGGGTGGCCCCTCCCCTCCCCTGAGAAAAGGAGGGCAATTGCGGTGGATGGAGACTTCCTCCGTATTCCAGAGCAGGAGCGAAGCACCCCTCTACTTGTCTCTTTTTCTGGACTTGTTGGTGCTGTGCACACTTCAGTCGCTGGGGGAGACGCGTGACTTTGCTCTGCGCCAAGACACTGGCTGGTCTGCCTGGCTGCAACCAATGCTGTGTGTTGTAATGGGCTCCAGGAGGAGGAGGAGGAGAAGGACGGGACACCATCTCCCCCATTGTGCAGCGCGCTAAGTTTAAGTGGAAGAGCAGCAAGCAGCCAAGGAGGTGGCGAGAGGAATATGGGGAGACACACCCCAGCCAGTGTCTGGAGGGGGGGGACAAAGTCGCGCGTCTCCCCATATTCCTCTCGCTGCCTCCATGGCTGCTTGCTGCTCTTGCATTTAAACTTAGCACCCTGCAGAATGGGAGAGACGGCATCCCCTCCTCCTACTCCTCCTGGAGCCCATTACGATGCGGATCATCAGCTGGGGCGGCCCAGACGGTGTCTCAGGGTGGAGAAAGTCATGCATCTCCCAACAAGGAAAAAGAGGCAAGTAGAGAGGCACTTCGCTTCCGCTCTGAAATACAGAGTGAGTCTCCATCCGCCTCCACCACCCTTCTCTTCTCAGGGCAGGTGAGGAATGAGGAGGAGGGGAGGATGAGGGACGGGGGGCAGCCAGCCGACAGGGAGCCACAGCAGGGGGACAAAAGAGCTTCATTTATCTGGGAAAGAAAGAGAAAGAGAGATGGGGGAGAAAGATGAGAAAGGGAGAAAGAGATGGGGGAGAAAGATGAGAAAGAGGGAGAAAGATGCGAGAGAGAGAGAGAGAGAGGGAGAAAGAGAGAGGGAGGGAGAAAGAAAGAGAGGGAGAAAGAGGAGAAAGGGAGAGGGGGAAAGAAAAAGGGAGAAAGATGAGAGAGGGAGATAGGTAGAGGGAGGGAGAAAGAGATAAGAAAGGGAGAAAGGGGGGGAGAGAGAGCTGTTTAAAAGAAAATACCTGGAGCCACAAAACCTGGTAGGTGTGGCTGGGGGGGGTGTCATGTGACTGGGAGTGGGTGAGTGATGTTGAGTTGGCCATGCCCACCCAGGTTTTGTGGCTCACAGTGTTTTGTCTTTTTGGGAAACTGGCCCAAGTGACTCTGAGTGTTTAAGGTTGCAGACCCCTGTACTAGACCAACTTACCAGGATGAGTTCAAAGAGAGTTCCTTGGTCTACTTTGAGAAATTCTTGATCCCACACAGGGATATCATCTGTTCGTTTCTCTTTGTTCTCATCATCCTCAGGAGGAGGTGGATCATCTTTATGATGGGTACACCACTGAATCACCTTTGGAAATTGAAATACGTTATGGAAAAGCTTTATAAAATTTGTTTTGTTTTCTACTGCACTAAACTAGCGCTCTACCAGCATCCACAAAGCTTTTGTATAAACATTGCTTAGCACAATACTGCAAACATGATTTATGGGTTTAAACAAAAGGCTGTACCATTTTCAAATTAAGCATGCTCACAATGCTAAAGTACCAATCTTTCAGAGATAGAAAAGTAGAAAATATGAATTAGATTCTACATATTTTTATATACTTTATTGTTCTAAATTCCAGGACTAATTACACTAATACAAAGGATTTACAGAAAAATATTCAGAAATATGAAATAAAACAGTAAAAATAATCAACAGATATGTTCCTAGCTAAAATAGTTTGGTTTAGCTACTTCCTAGAAAAATACTTTCAACTGTGGAAAATTATTTTCAATAATGTAAAAATAATGCAAATTTCTATTTTGTTATGTCTAAAAATATAGAAAGAACAGGTTAGAGATAAATCCTGTAACAATTTTGCCAGAATATTACACTGATATTAACTATATAACCAAATATTTTGTTTTTCTACAACTATCCTGTTTCCCTCAAAATAAGGCATCCCCTGATAAGCCCAATCGGACTTTTGAGCGCATGGAAATGAGCTTATTTCAGGGTTCAAAAAAATGTAAGACAAGGTCTTATTTTCGGGGAAACCTGGTTTTTGAACTATCTTCCAGTACAGAAACCAGTGAATACAAACTACTCTTTAAAAAATTAAGTCTAATTTTAAACATTTGAAAAGTACAAAGTTAAAATAAACGATCTGCCTAAAAGTAATACAAATATAAATAATATAATTAGAATAAAAATTGTATCAATGCAAGTGATAGAATGGCACAAAATGGACAACAAAAACGGCACAAAATGGTCAACAAAATGCATGCCAGAATACTGTCATATTTGCACTAACTGCAACTTCCAAAGTTTCAAGGTCAGCCTCATGTGAAGCGCACTGCAACAATCTATATAAGAAATGTTTTAATCACTCTCGGTATCAACATAAAAAAAATTGCACTTTCCAGAAATGGTATAGATGTTACAATGGCAAAGCTAGACAATGGCATTCTTGACCAGAGAACTGTCTTTCCAAAAGCAATGAGGGATACAAAAGCACTCCAACTAGAAAAACTAATCCAAAAGGAGTCAGCTCCAAAAAAATGAACGAGCCTAATTTTTGCATTGAAGAATTGTTTAATTATTGATCAAAATAATGTAAAGGCATTTGTAATCAATCTTTCAAAATCTAAGTAGCTCAAAGAAAATATTCAGTAATATACGTTATCGTAAAACACGTACAATGTAAGCCAATAATTAGAACTTAACCGATATTAAATACTATAGTCTATTGTTCTATGGAAACAACTACTGGATGAATGTCAATAATAAACTGCACAGTGTGGAAAAAAACTCATCCAAAGATGGCCTCCTAGCTTCAGCATTTAACATTGTACAGAAATTCAAGATCTTCAGTTAATCATGATATCATGCACAACAAAATCTATTTAATTTGATCCCATCACAATCTCATAAATCATGTTTTACAATATCACAATAAAAACAACAGAATTAAAACAATCTACAGTCCAAATTACAAAATCAAAGAGATGCAGATGAAGTTACAGAAGCTGTCTCTGAAAAAGCTCCATTTTTAATACAGTAGCTTTTTAAAAAGTACCAGAGAGAAGTCTGATTTCAATGGGAAGCTCATTCCATTACACAGACACTGCTACGAAGCAGCACTTTCTAGCTTCAGGTCGCCTAAAATCCCAAAAATGTGAGACAAGGAGCATCTCTCTTCCATGTTATAACAGGGCAGGCTGAATCTGATTGGACAAAACAGTTTTCAAAGTACCCAGGTGCCAAGCCAGGGAGGATACTATAATTAACACCAGCACTTTTACTCTGCAGTATAGATGTCCCAAATGAATAGAGCTCTGCAGCAAAAACAAGAATATACCTATAAACTTAAAATGATAATCCATCCAATAATTTTTAGACAGAACTGCCTTCGCCAAGCACTAGATATACTACTTCTCAATATAAAAATTAGCTTAGAACATATTTATATTGTGAAACCAGATTGTTTGAAAATTCTGTATTTCGTTAAAATAGAATTATTACCTTTTTTAATATAGCTGCATTAACATTTGGAAGAGGAACAGGATCATCATCTCCTTCGTCATCCATTCCCAAGTCTAAGAAGGAAAACAAGCAATGAAATATTAGCAGCCATTTTACTAATACAACAATTAAGACAACCTAGCAATTTCCAAAAAACACTGCTATTTTTCTCTGTAAAGAGATATGAGTAAACAGTTTCTACTATTAATAAAGTAGAATATTTGCTGCTCTCTGAGCTTACTTGTTTTCTGGCAAACGTTTCATTACCCTAACTAGGTAAAATCATAGGATTAGCACTGATGATGTTATCTACTTAGGATAATGAAACATTTGCAAGAAAACAAGCTCGGAGAGCACCAAAGACCCCTCAGTTTCTAATATTGCTACTTTAACATTATCATGGGCCATTATCTGTGCCATAAAATATAAAATATTCATAGAAGTAAAGAACTTAAGGACCTTCTAAGGAAATACGCATGGGATAAAATTGTAAATGGATCTGTTTCTCTTGCTTATTTGTATTTATATTTGTTGGCAATAGCCAACACGCCAGAACATAGGCTCAAGATCCAGAAGGATCTCGACAGACTGCAGTATAACGCTGACTCATATTTAAATAGTTGTCCCTGGGACTCCTAGATCCCTCTCGCAGTTACTGCTATTGCGAAAGTACTATCTTTTCTGTACCTGTGCACTTTAAGACAAGGTTTTTCTTGTCCTAAGTGTAAAACTTTACTTGTTTTCATCACTGAATATTATTTTGTTAGATAGGGCCCAGACTTAACTACTTTAAATACCCACTACTTTTTCCATTCGAGAGACCTACTATGGAGCTACAAATCCATAGCATCTCACCAATTACACTCCATAGCACACATCCGCCCACCAGTGCCCTTTTTGCTGCCCACACTCACATGATGCCACAAACCACCACCAGTCCAATCATACCCATAGCATTTCTCTGCTCAGGACTTGCAACTTTCCGATGGCTTCCTCACTGACTTTGTTGGAGGCTAATAGGCAGTCACAAGTCATAGTTAACACAATCCTAACTTAAGAACCTGCAATCCTCACTTAACAATGGCAATGGTGACTGCCAGAATTGCCATCCCTGTGGTCATGTGACATCATACTTTACTACTGCATCGTTTAGCAACAAAAATTCCAGTCCCAATTACCACTATTAAGTGAGAACTTTCAAATAATTCAAAAACATAACCCATATTTAAAAGGATGCAGATAATAAATAAAGCATGATTTTCCCATAACCTTTACCATCATAAAACATAATTGCATCGTTTTATTTAAAATTAGTTGAAGTTTCTGTGTCCCGTTGTGCTAAAATATAAAAATCTGTATAGAGCTAAATGATAACTATAAAAGGAATATTATATTTTAGTTTTGCTAAGCTATTATGATTATCAAAGCACATAATAATATACATGTCATTATGTTCTGAAAAAATTGAGATTAAAACAAATATTTCTAGGCTTACACCGAATAGAGCTGCAAGTACATTTTAATCCATTTTAATTGATGGATTTATCTGGTTTAAAGCAGCTGCCTAATACCCTGAAATAGCAGTGAAGAAACAAGACCAGAACAAGTGGCACAAGTTCAAGTATAACACAAATGGAGGACAGATATATCAAGATGTTACAAAGTATAAAAGCAAATATGTCTTTGGGTTACTTGAAACAACATATTTGGTATATTCACTTAACAATGTATCTCATGCAAAAATTTACCAATTTAGGGAATGGGATATATTTTAAAATAATTTATATTACAAATGGAGCTACAAGCTGTTCAACTCTAAACAATGTAGCATCACTTTGTTTTCCTCTACTTAGTAAAAGTGGGCAGGCAAGAGTAATTAAAATAGAAGAAACCACCAACATAATAAAACATAGGAAGTTTACATATTCTAAATGTTGTCATCCACTTTATCAGATAAAGCAAATATTACCGTATTTTTTGCACTATAAGACACATTCCCCCCCCCCCAAAAGTGGGTGGAAATGTCTGTGCGTCTTATAAAGTGAATATTGCGGTGGGGAGAGGGGGGGTTCGTGCGGCGGCAAACGACGGTGACACCTGTCACCACCGCTGCCTGTCACTGCTGACCGCCACCAGGGAATGCTGGAGCCTTCACTGCTGAGCAGCTGATTGGCGGTTGGATCGGCCTCCCGGAATACCGTTGATCAGCTATTCTAGGCGGACAGAGATCAGTGACGATCCCCACCGTCTAGAACAGCTGATCAACGGTATTCCGGGAGCCAGATCCAACTGCCAACCAGCTGCTTGGCAGAGAAGGTTCCAGTGTTCGACGGTGATAGCAGCTCAGCTCAGTTGACCAGTGGTGGGCGCAACAGATCGGAGCCCTGACGAGCCATGTGCTGGGGCTACAATAACGTGTTGAAGCTGACCAGGCTGTTTGGTGTTTGCTGCAAGGACACTAGCCAGATGAATACCGGATGGATGTTGGGAGGCAGAGGCAGATTTCTTTTCTTCTTTTCCTCCTCTAAAGCTAATGTGCATTTTATGATCCGGTGCATCTTATAGTGTAAAAAATACGGTAATTGGGAGTGATAGTAAGGGACTGAGAATATATATTTTTATCACACAAAACATCACTTTCTGAATATATTGTTTTATTTCGTTATTCAATGAATTTCCAAACACACACTAATGCCTTTCACTTCTTATTTTCTACATTATTCAAAATAAAAAATTTCCAAAAATAAATTTTAAAAGTTTTCATATTTCCCCCTCTCTACTTATTATTACTGGGACAAGGAATCACCTGGATGATTACAATTAGTCCTCAGGTTATGACTGGTTTGAATGGTATTGAATGGTTCAATACCATTCAAAGTTACGACACTGTAGCGGGGTACTTAAAATGGATCAGTGAAGTTCCAGCCATCATAGGGCTCCCATACCCACATGATTACAATCTTGGTTCTCAACACTTGGCTTACAATTAAACCATAGCATGTTGTTGGTCACATGTTCACGATTCCTGATGCTCCATGCTGGCCTCCTATAAGCAAAGGCAATGGGGAAAGCCAACAAGAAATAGGAAATCATGATTATGTGAGGTTCTCAACAACCTACATAATCCTCATTTAACAATGACTACTGGTACTGCTGGAATTGCCATCACTGACAGTCATGTGATGTTGTTTTATGACTACATTGCTTATAACTGCCGTCATAGCTCAAAGACTACCTATACTGAAAGTGAGAGATAATGAAATTTAGAAAATGTTTATAATACAGAATTTGTATACATCACAAATAAACATTTATGGACAGAGAAAAGGGCTAAATTAATACATTTCTTCAAAATACTGCTTACTCCTCCAACATTCAAATTAACTGTAAAAGTAGCTTGCAACAATGCATTGAATTATAAAAATGCCAAATCAGTATATTTTAAAAAATCACAACATGATCAAAAGAAAATGGGAAGAAATCTTTAAATATTACTAGGCTCTTTTTCCAAAGTCTATGAACAATTGATTAAAAAAAATAAGTTATCTGGCTAAATTCCCTCATCAATTTTTTAATATGCTGAGAAGCAGAATTAAGCTGTCATCCTGCAAGGCTTAACTGCTTCCAAAACTTCACAATCTATTTGTATTATCCTTATGGCGGTATGGTGGCTCAGCAGTTAAGGCGCTGGACTCGTTTGCTGGAAAAGCTGGCAGCCAGGTTCAAGATCCAAGCGCCATGTGACGGGCTGAGCTCCCATCCTCGCCCCGGCTCCTGCCAACCTAGCACTTGGGAAGCATGTAAACATGAGTAGATAAATAGGTACCACTTCAGTGGGAAGGTAACACTGCTCAGTGATGTCATGCTGGACACATGACCACAGAAATGTCTTCAGACAGCACTTGCTTAATGGTCTTGAAACGGAGATGAGCACCATCCCCCATTGTCAGCAACAACTAATGGAGTAAAATCCACTGGGACTCCTATATCTTTCACTTTTATATTAGCTTTATCTTATTGCTTCACAAGATTTAACTGTAACCCAATTGCAAGGCATAGTAAGAATTCACTATCAGCTTCAAAACAAAAATTAGACAACCTTACCCATACCTTTGCCAAGAAGCTGTTAGTCTCAGGAAATCCATTAGGCTGTAAAAACCCTCTTTTGTCTTCCTTCCTTGAAAAGGAAGACATCCCCAAGACTGATTCAAAGATTAAAATCCAATTTATCAAATTAAAAATGGTTATAGGGTGTGTATGGAGAGACAAAAACAGAAATACAGAAAGCATTTCTCTTTTATGATGCTCATACCTTCCAGCATAGTCTTGATTGTTACAGACTGTTTTGCAATTTCAACATCAACTTCAAATATTTCTCCATCAGAGCTCTGTAGTTTAATTGAAGGCATCTGTAAATGAATAAAATATATTTTACCCATATTTTTATGTATGACATTTTAGTTTCATTAGCATCTCCTATCAAAAAATACAGTAAACCATATTTACAAAAGAAATTTAATTTTTTGTTTTACAATGCTGTTTCATCCATCTTTGCATTATCATAACATGGTCAATAAAGCTATATCCCCTGACTAAGTAATGGTTTGCTTAAAATTAATGGCTAAAAAAAGGGCTGATCAGATTACAGCTCACTCTGACTATATTTGCAGTGTCACCTCCTTAAACGTAATCTTTATTATGGAATATTAGTGCATAAAACTAAAATACATGTTTTGATTAAGTATTTCAACAAGCTTGTTTAATTTTTTTTATCTTTTAGTGTTCCAAAACTTTTTACTTTCCAATGTAAAGTGCTGCACATGCCCAATAAAAATTTATGACTAAAATTACTTAAAATTCTAAATCTGACTTGTATTATCCTATTTAAGGCAGTGTATTGCATATGCTTGTACCTTGCTTCAAAAGCAGACATTCATTTTACAGAATGAGATAATTAACTGGGCATTTTGACATGATTCATGGTTAATGACCTAATTCCAATCATGTGGACTATTTACCAAGCAAGATTTGAAAATATAATATTATACTTTCAACAAACTACTGTACACCATCATTCTTCACACTACTTGGGAAACAACTACGGTTCTGTATTGGGAAATGATCAGGCATCCTGAAAGCAGCTACATAACCAGTATTGAGTGTTTTTAAGAGGAACCCAAATTATTTTTCAAGGTATAGAACCAGAAATCACTAAATATATGAAAATTCTCAGAATTGTTCAAGTAGTATCCAAATCTTACATAATCCACTTTGGATTAAAGGTTAAACATAATTCTTGATTTTAACTACTGTGACCCCTTAAAACAAAATAATAAATTTATAATTTATTTATGTATAATAAATTTCTTAGTATTCACAAATGATGCATACTACTTTGGAGAGCTCAGGGCACAATAATTAACAGTTTCCATGGTATTTTTCATAAAGGAAAGTTCCCATTAAAATCGATAACCATTTTTAATAAACGAAATATACATGTAATGTTAAGAAACAAACCTGACAGTTATAAACATTTTAACTGTGTAGCCATGAGATCAAGATGAATCTCTGTTTATTCAGACAAACAGATGCATTAAATTGAATGGACACTTTAATCATCATTTAAATCCCATGACTTAGGACATCATTAAATCCTAAGGCTAGGCTTGGATCCAGTCCATTATCATTGTTACTTTTTTTTTTCTTTTCAAATAAACTTAAAACTCACCAGATTGTTTAAAGGACAGCTTTTTTATAAGCAGTTTCGGATTAAACGGCAATCGTGACTAAGCATTTTAGGGTACATAAAGCCTCTGCATAAAACAAGTCAAGGTAAAGTGCCCGGCTGGCTACGTCAGCCCTATAGCCTTTCATTTCACTCACTATATTGTATTTCTTGCTTCGCTCCAGCAAAACACTCTCTCTCTCTCTCTCTCTCCTCTGAAGTATGCACCGTTTGCAAATTAAAGACGCCCTGCAAAAAACTCACACGCCGTCAAGAAACGCAGCCCATAGCATCAACTCTTTTTTTTAAAATAAATAAATAAAAATACGTTATTTCCTTAATAGAAGAAGAGGGAAACGGGATGGGGAAACGTTCCTCTGGCTCGGGAGGCGAACGAACTGTTAAAGGAGCGCGGATTCCTAGCGTCGGTCACCTTCCCTCCCTTTTTTCCCTCTCCAGGACGAGCCGGGCTGCTGGAAGAGATGGCGGAGGCGGCCCTTCGGCTGCGCGTCTCCGCACCCCTTCCCACGAGGGGTGGGGGGGAAGCCGCTCCCTTAGCAACCACCTGCGATAGGTTCTCAAGGCTTCATCCCCCTTCCGCGGCCCTTACGGTCCTAACTTTGTTCTCGCCCTCACCATCCGCTGAGGAGGCCCGAACCTCAACCAGGCCTCGGCCTCACTCACCGTGAGGCAGCACAACAGCGGCGGCGGCGGCGGCAACGGTAGCGGCGGCAACGGTGGCGCCTTTTAGCCTCTCCCCGCAAGACACACCACCCAACTCAAATTAAGGGCGCACTGGAGCGTCTTGTGGCCGCTGCATTTTATAGAGTTGGGGGCGGAGCGGACCCGAGCCGAGGGCCCAAAGCGTTTGTCCCCGCCCCTTCCACTCACGGGGCTGGGTATGTCTCCTGAGCGCCTGCGCCGGACGACTCAGCGGGCATCGGCCCCCCCGCCTTCACCGCGGAGGGACTGCGGAGAGGCCGAGAGAGGTATAGCCTAGTTCGCATAAAAAAGAAGAAAGAGACCCTTAAACGTATTTAGATATTAAGTACCTCGGGGTCCTTCAGGCGAAATCGGAGGTTGCCCGCTACGAGCTCGCTCGTGATCGAGGCTACCTCATAATGGTGGCGACGGCGTTACGTCATAATAGGAAGGACGGTTTCTCGTTTATTCTGAGCGACGTAATTATATTCCCTTTTCTTTTCCCTGTGTTGTTTCATGTCTGATAATCTTGGATGCGGTTTGTGTGTGTGTGTGAATCCAGCTCCTTCTGGTTATTACTCCCTGGTGTTATTTGGCCCCCCTCCCACAAAAGATGTTGAGTAATGTGTGTATCCACAAATGCATCAGACGTTTCAACGTTCCCTTGGATTATCATTAAGGGAATCGGGTCTGTTTTTCACATATAATCACTGGTAAGAAACTACTTCATCATCCTAACATTAGCATCTTCTGTTTCATATCAGGTAAGATGTTAGTTGCCATTACCCAGCTAGGAGAATTATTCAAGTTGTTTATTTAGCAAAAATAAAGAACTGATTTATTGGTTATTCACCCTCCTCTGCCCACTCAAAATAGTTCTATTTTAATTGCATAGATGTTCCAACTTTTGAAAGAGGAAGCCCTGGAAAAGGGTCTGCTTATATAATAGGCAGCACTACATTTACTCCTCTGGCACAATAACATTTCAAATGGTACATTATGTTTTCTCCTCCTCCCCTTCCACACACACACACACACACACCCTCCCCAATAAATATTTTGAGAGGAGCATCCTCTGAAAAACTATTTCCAGGTCAAGAAGCAGATCACAAGTAACACTAAGCCAGTGTTTGGAATTCAAAGTCTCTGCTACTTAAACCAAAGTTTAAATAAACTCTTAGGCAAAAACTACTCCCAAAGCAGTCCTAAACTACCTCAGATGAATACCATATGATGTTTGATATCACAGCAATATCACAATTTATATCTTTACTTGCTACTCCCTCTCACATTTATGCATTAGTCATAAGACAGCAAAGCCTTTTTTGTTCCAAGCTGGAAAGTCTCACCTCTGTTGCTTGATAAATACAGTGCATATTAGTGTCATCAAACACCACCTTCTAATATTTGTAGAATTGGAGTGTTCAATCTTCCGAGCATTAAATTTCCTCTTAGGCATATGGAGTGAACTGCAGCAAAAAGATAAGTCCAGATTGATCTAGAGGTATTATAAACCCAATACAAGAAATCACTGTCAGCCATAGTGAAAAACTTAGCCCAGACATTGATGAAAGCATCCAATTCCTCCATCACCAGCACCATCTAATATAGGTAGTTCTTGGTAAGCAACTCTGCATTTATGATGAAAAGATAACTTTGCAATCAATCCTTGCATTTATAACCTCGGGCCTGAAAACAAAGGGAAGTTGAAGTGAGTGTGAGACCATAAGCAGTCCCAATTTCACTTAGCAAACACTTAGAACTGAGTTATTGGTCACTAAACAAGGATTACTTGTAAGTAAAATTGCCTTTGAACCAAGCATGAGCTCAACAATTTATATTAATATCTCCATGCATTCTTATTAGTATGAGTTAGTTCTCTCACCGCCTTCTTTCAGGATGTTTTCCAAGTTCCTGGACAAACCAACTCTGTACTTCACAATGTTTCCAATTAGCTTCACAGATGTTTCCTAATTAGCTTTCTAGATAAGCCAAAGTTGGCTAGGTACCCCTCCCCCCCCCCCCCAAAAAAGGGATTTTTCTGACTTCCCTTCTGGCCATGCTAACTATATGATTTTCAAACACGATGACTCTTAAACAAGAGTATTAAAACATGTTAAAAGACTAATAGCTATCATATGAACTTTCATAGATCAAAATCAACTTGTTAGGTTTATTAAATACCACAAGTGTCCACTGATTTTGTGATGTGACTAGGTATGCCATATGTTTTCATATTAGTATGTTGTATTAACATAAAATTATAAAAATAGTCCATACTTTATTATGTTCAAGTTATTCTAAACATTTACTACCTGCTTTTTCATTCTTCTGCATAATATATAAAGCTCACAAGACCTGTCAACAGGTGTTTTCTTTTTCAAAAGAACAATTTCAGCTTTCTCTTTCACTTCCAGAAACCATATTTAACCAAGGACAGTAACTTGCTTAGAAAATGTCTTAAAAGCAGCCAATTAGACAGTGGAATTCAAGAAGGGTGGCTTCCACTTTGAAAAGCTGCTCCAATCATCATGGCATAGGAATTATAATCATGAAAGTTACACTTAAAAGTGGGTAACATACTGTACATGGAAACATTTTCTAATCTCTGCTTAAATATGGGATCATATGGAGAAAAGGAGAGGAAGCTGCAAAATGAAGCTGTACTGTATTATTCAGTTAAAAGTGCAAGAAAACTGGTGTTTTAACTGGTTAATTCATAGAAAAAGTTGGCCACTTTTAACTTATTGCTTACCTTTTTTTTTAACCAGTGGAAGTTTTAGCTGGCATCGAATTTCTCTTTGAAGGTGGGTTTTTTTTAGTATTTGGAGTTAAATTTCTATTAAAATGAATATTCTGGTAACCTGACGCTAGGGGGAAATGAAGAGCAATAACAGTGCCAATAGTATTTCTTTATAATACTTGTTCCTTTTTGGTTTTTTGTAACAGTATCTTAGAAAAACCTCAATTTTTGAAGTTTTTTCAGGAAACTGAAAATCTCTCTCTCTAGAGAGACACTTATATGTAAAGTTAAAAATGCCTTGGCTGGGAATTACAGAAGCAATTTTCCCTGCTTCTGAGCAGCAACCCTTGATGCAAAAGGTCAACTACTTGAAATTGAAGATATCAGCCCCATTCCATGAAAAAGTTTCAAGAATCACAAAGTATGCACAACACTTTAACATGCCCTGTGCACAGAAGGACTTTTCTTCCAACTTCATTATTCTGTTACTACTTTATTGAATGGTAAGTAAAAACACTAGTTACAAAGTAAGAGGAAATCACTGTTAATACACGTTTTGATTTTCACATTTGAGACAATCAAGTTACAGGTGGCTTGTTGGTATATCCCCATTGTTACACTATTTTCATCATCATTCAACAAATGTGTGATACCAACAATTACGACTAAGAATTTAACTTCCATTATAATAGGCTCATTTTTCCTAGCTATTTAAATATCCCAAGTTCTGTGATCAGAATATATTCAGCAAGTATTTGGAGTATTTAGTCTAACTTATTCACTGCTTTCTGCTCAAACCAAAGGAAAGTAAGCTGGGCATAAGAGAGTAATGTGTATGAGAGACTTCTACTACTAAGAATGGGTACAGAAATTGATTTATGATCTCTCACCAATTCCTTCCCATTCTTCATTCAATAACACAGAAGCAGTAGCCTCATATTCTTTTGTTTACAAGTATAGCAAAAAAAGTAGATTTCATCAGGAACATTGAGGATATACAATTTTTAAGACCATGCTTATGTGAAGTTTGACTTCACAATCTGGACTTTTTCACTTTAAATATACGGTAGAATTAAATGTCAGAATATCTGTTTTGCAGAATAGCTTTCTCCCTAAGTATTTGAAAAATGTTAACAGAATTATGGCAGTAATTATTTGCCTAATATATCACAGATTACAAAATCTGATCCTTAAGATTTTGATTTTTATGTATTGTAATATGTTTCCTGAAAACAGCTTGTTTGTGACTCAGTTTTGTTTGGGTCCTTCAAAGGTTCAAAGAAACATAAAAGCTACTTTTTTATTAAATACAACATGATATGTGCTTGCAATACATTTTAAAGTCAACCATCTTCCAAACTTAGTTCACAAGTTTATTATGAAAAATGCTGCAACACTCCTGCAGCAACGTCTTACAGAAATAAATTGTTCTTTCAAAGTAATTCACTACGATGAACACATACATGGGACACTTTGTAGAGGAAATGTGTGAGAGAAAAATGGGAGTGGGAACAGAGTTCAGATGAAACAATAATACAATTAAATTAAATTGTTTCTCTAAAAAACAAAATAAGAACACAAATAAGAAAAGTCGGTCTCGGTGCTTATTTAAAATGTTCATTAAGCTTCAATGATAGTTTGCTATTCTTATCTACAATCATGCTGGAAAGCTAAAGCTAAATGGAAAGTTACTTGTAATTCACGAAGTGTTAAATGTCTACGTATTAATATTTGCAGTCTCTCAGAGAAAGCAAAAGTAACTACAAGTAGAACTATGCCAGAAACTGATTTCTTGACCAACAATGTTGCTTCAAGCATGCAATGAACTGGTTCATTCTAAAGTGGTCACAGTCGTTGACAGACAAGAGGCTTTGAATTTCAATATGGCACATCTTTTGGTCCATGTGAAAACAGGTTTCAATGTTAAATGTTTTCTGACACTTTGGAGTTACTGTTGCTCTTCCCATGTTCCTTTAGGTCAACACATGGTTCATGGTAATACTGTACAAGTGGAAAATCTCATTACAGAAAGTAGTCTGGAGTGCGACGAGTAACATGTGGTTCACCTCTGCGTGGTGCCGGATCAAACTGCAAACTGGAAGAGAGAATTCAAATTTGTTGATCTATTAATATTTTTTAAAAAACCTATAAAAAAGTTAATAGTTTGAAATTTCAAATAACACTTCAGAACAATTTCTTCAGAAGGACAGAGAAGCTTCTCTATAATGCTGCTAAGTGTGGCAAAGTAAATGGCAGGAGCCACTTTGGGAGAAAAAGAATTTCCAAAGGAAGCTCTATTCAGGCACAGAATTAATGTCTTGTCATTGACTGAGCTTATACAAAAAGGAATTCAACCTATTTGTGTGAATCTTAGAAGTAAAAAGATTCTTTTACATACATAGTATTAATATAACAGAAGCAAATATTTCTTAACATAACTTAGGGCTTAAACTTCAAAGAACTCATCCAGAAAAATAATTTTAAGAAGGATTGCTGTTAAGTTTTATAATAACTCAAGAATCAATGAGTACACCCCGAAATATCCAAACATGTTTTTAAATGTTAAAGCTATGCAAATTTAAAATAAATTGGATATTCCACAAATAATCTCTTCTGAAATAACCTAGAAAGACCAGTTCAAGCAACAAAGCATATTTATTTCAAGCACGCATGACTTTTTACGTGTGTGAAACTTTTAACTAGGTGGTATAAATAATGCACTTTGAACATTCGCATAGAAATATTTTTTAAATACTTACAATGAATATTTTAAAGTATCATCAAGCTCCATAATTGCAGCTTGGTTACCACAACGGTAACAATAATTTGGAGCACTAAAAATTGTTACTACATTCCGATCATGACACCAGTTGTATCCCTGAAAAAAGAAAATGCGTAATTTTAATAAGAGCCTCTGCAGATAAAATAATATTAGGCATATAAAAACTGTAGTTATAATAAAATATATTATGTATATACATATACTGTATTAAAATATATCAAGGTATGATCTGTGTTTTAAATATCTTAAAACAATTTACAGCAGGTCAAAACAAGCTTACCTCCATTACCAGCTGATGAGCTCTTGAAACCAACGTAAGACCATTAGCATGGTTGAAAGTTTCTGAAATATCTTGTCCAAAAGTATAGCCAGCTCCTCGAGGAGAAATACCCCAGCCACCCCGATCATCAGGATCTGACCACAGCAAATCACACATTGGACCCTAAGAAATATTTCAGTATTATGATTTAGCCTTTAAAAATGGAAGATGCATAATACAACATAGAAACTTCAAAAGGAAACTTCCAAAATGACAACTGGAATGGCTAAATATGTTGGGAACAGTACACTTTTATCCAGTGCTAATGCTAACAATTAGCAGTGATACTAGAAATCCAGAATTTCTGTATTGCTAAGTTTCCTACACCTGGGCATTCTTAAGAATTCAATTACAGCTACTTTTCAGCTATGGCTGAATTCAACTAAAGCTAATTCTTGTGAACAACAATACTGCTAAGACATTGTGGCAATGAACATACTTCTGGGGAGAAAAAAAACCCAGCGTCTCCTTGACGACACTCTAGCCATCTACAGAAAGAAGTTTCTTTCAGAATGGTGAAAATATAATGCAGAACAGTGAAAATTAGATAAAACACTAAGTTTGAGTTGGGCTTGCCAACACTAGCAGTCACTTTACATAACTGGTTTACTTCCTCACTCAAGGCAGTAAAACCGGAGTCAAGTTCATTCTTCTGTAACATAATATACAAATCAAGGCTGGAAGATTTCTCAGAAATATGATAAATTATTCATATTCAGAATCTATTTTATTTCACTCTTATAGACCATTATCTGTAGCAATAAGACACTCAAAAAGACACCACTTCATTAGAATCTTTGTTCCATCAGAAGAACTCACAAAATCACCTACTATAAGAACTCATTTTCTACATAATTTTCCATCTTGTGGCTGCTTGGAAAAGTCCCTCAACCAACAGTGGAGAACATGCGGCTTGTAAGAGAAACTGACTGCTAAAATAATTTACCACTCTATTCTGTTGATACCACTTCTCAATAAAAGAGCACTGGACACAAATCTCTAAATACTGACGATCACAAGATTTATATCAGGTATATGAACATTAATAGTACTCAAAGAATTTTACAACACAATGGCATAATCTAGAACAGAACTAACCAATTCTGATGAATTTAAAATTAGAACCAGGGTATTAACTTTTAACTACATAATTCTGAATCCATCATTATGAAGATTAGAAGAAAGATTATGCTACTAGACTCGGGAAATTATTGTCTTTCGGATATTGCTGAACTACAATTCAGGTTATCTCTTAACTTGCTTGTTACTTAATATTCAGCAACAAGGAGAGAGCAACAAATTCTCCACTTGTCACTACACTGATTCTCTATCATGTCAGGAATTTTTGTACAGTACTTAAGTCTTTCATCCTAGATTGAAATTCTGTGTCTGTTAGTAGGGTTCTATAAACTCCATAATCAATTAATACATTAAAATCAGATGAAACAGTAGGCAGCAATTTTCATAAGTAATTCTAGAAGGAATCCAAATCATCTCAACAATAAAAGCATTAAAATGAAGCACATGAAATGCGAAATTTATTGCCAACTCTAGACTCGACAATAATTTGAAGACTCCAGACTTCTGGAGAATAATAGCGGACTGAAGATGGTTCTGCAAAAAGTGAATTCCATGGGAAAACATTTTTTTCTTAATAAACAGCAAAAAGGGTGATTAAAACTTTTATTACAAAGTTACAAATACACTCCAGGTAAATTTGAAATAAGATTTGAGAATCAATTATAAACAATCTTCCTGTGGAAAAATACTTTGTTTTGAATTCTTTTTTTAAAAATACTTTTAAAAAATGGACACCAGAGGGAACTAAAGATTATAAAGGAGAAGAATACTCAAAGTCAACTCACAATTATAAATTAAGAAAAATGTCTTAACGTTAGATATATTTAAGGATGTGGGCCTAGAAATTAACTGTAAGATTATCTGCCTCTTTAGTCGGACTGTGTTTAAAATATACTATGGAAGAATAACAAGTTTTACCTGACAAGAATGAAACTAGTTTGAAGATGGGTTTAAAAATGACAAGCTCAAAAAGAACAGAAATAGATGTTACTCTGGACACACAAAAGAAACCAACTGATGTTCTAATAATTAAAAAGGATATACAAATAAATCAAGAGAGTGAAATGGATAAATGTTCTATACTGGGCCTACAAAAGAAGCTTGTTAATGTTTTGCAGAATTTTGTGAGAAGGGACAAAGAAAAAATGAAAACAAAAAATCTAGGACATTTTCTGAATGAATTAATGAATTAAAGATCAGGATTGTTAAAAGTAAATGGAAAGAATGTGCAGTTGCTTTATTTGATCAAGGTTAAAATAGGTATGTAACCTCAGGTAACCCTTAACGAACTTTTGCTAATACCAGGATTAAACTAATAAGGCTTTATTGTTTACAAATAAAAGATTAGATATTAGAGAATATCTAATTATTTGTATTTTAAGAGAAAGTGGTCAGTTACTAAAATTGTTTTTACTTGAGATGAAGGGGAGGGAAGTCCCTTCTTTATATTTCCTTTCCCTATTGTATTCTTTTTCTTTTCTATTTTCTTTTCAAATTTTTTCTCTTTTCTGCATCTTATATATTTTTTCTTTATATCATTTTCTTTTCTTTTGTATTTGTTATTATTTGTTAATAAAAATTACAAAAGAAAAAATTTAAACAGTACCATTAGACATTAATCACAATTCAGAATTCAAATTGCATTAAGTTACCTCATGTGGAACTTCTTGAAGACGATCAAGTGCTCTAATATGATCCAGTGTATCTATAGATGGAGAGAGTCCACCATGTAGACAGAAAATCTGTGAAAATATTGAAACTAGTATTAGAGTAACTTATTTTTAATTATCAAAAACTACAGTTAGCTGAACATATTTACTGAAAGTTATAGATGGTTTTAAAAGGAAACATCTGATTAAAATTTGTTGCTATTAACAAGAAATATTCATATTTTCAACATACCTGTCCATCCACCAAAGCAGTAAGAGGAAGATAGTCAAAAAGATCTGTGAAGTATTTCCAGACATTTGCATTTCCGTATTTCCTTAAACACTCATCATAGAAACCATATACTTGGGTGATTTGCCTGCTTTCATGGTTCCCTCGAAGGATTGTGATGCGTTCGCGGTAACGGACCTATAAGATAAGGTAGTTAGTATGATCACAGAATTAAGAATTTTTCATTTTATGTTCCCTACCTTGACTTGTCCCCATCTCTATTAACATATATCTTCTCCCATCATAATCAGTATTTATGGATGTGTGGAGAAAACATAATTTTTTAAAACATCTTTTGAAACCAAATTTTAAAAATCTGTTTTCCTCCTGCCTCATTTTGTTTAGTTTAATAGTACTGATATATAGGAGGGAGGGGGAGAGTCTAAATTTAAATTCAAGAGTACTATCTTATCAGTCCTTGATCTCTTTTCCATCTATTGAAATGGAGATACAGACTTAAGAAACACGGATGTTCTAACTACAGGTAGTCCTCAGCTTATGACCACAATTGAGCCCAAAATTTCTATTGCTAATCGAGTTAAGTAAATTTTGCCCCATTTTATGATCTTTCTTGCCAGAGTTGTTAAGTGAATCACTGCAGTTGTTAAGTTAGTAACACAGTTGTTAAATGAATCTG